TCGGCCAGGATTTCCTCTACAGTTCACTTCTAAGCAAAACATGTACTCACATTATCCGCATTTCACTCAGGTATTCAACTGTGTAAAAAGTGTGAATTAAATTTCTTTAATTCTCATCAAAATTATCATTTGAAAAAGATTCAATAAATTTTCAATTGCCAACCAACATGCAAAAAATAGTTAAGCTTTTTATGGCAACAACAATGCTTACACTCAGGTGGATTGAACAATGGCAAAGCCACCCAATATCATCATAAAATTTAGTGGATTATATCTTCTGTTATATGCCTTTGTTGCAATTTCCCCAAAAATAAATTATAATTATCTAAATAAAAAAAACTAAAATTAAAAAAAAAAATTTTTTTAGTCTACCAATTGTTTAATGTTTAGCACAAGGAAATAAAATGTAAGAAGTGGAACCTTAAAAAAACTTATCAGTTCTTGTTATATATCATTATACAGTATGATAATCCCCAAAGGTTTATACACTTTGATGTCAAATGCTTTGATACTGACTTGAAATTTAGTTCAATAATTTGAGCATTTATTCAACCAAAAAAAAAAAAAAAAAAAAAAAAAAAAAAAAACACTAACACTTTTTTATGAAGTATCAAATGTCCATCTAATACTGACACGTGAAGTATCAAATGTCCACCTAATACTGACACATAAAGTATCAAATATCCATCTAATACCGACACATGAAGTATCAAATGTACATCTAATACTGACACTATCATTTTTTTCAACACAACTTTTTTCTTCATCTGCTGTGGATTCAGTTTTTAGAATGATAAACATGTAGCCATTTTAAGTAAATTTAACAATAAAACTACAAAAGAAATAGCACGTTTTGGTGTGACATAAAAAAACCAACTCATTTTGTTTAGCGGAACCATATTGGAATACTAATACTAAGTTATGCTTACACTTGATCAACCACTGGATGAAAAAAAAAAATGCCTTATTTATGCTGTTAACGCAAAATCACCAGAAAACTTCAGTCTCACTGAAACAGCAAGTAACAAAATTTACCAATCATGCACAGAAAACCTGAGTTCTTGGAAGCAAATATGTTAACGTTTAGCAGTGACTAAAATACATCATGTTATCTCACTTTAATTTAAACCATATGAAGCATAAGGTTGAATTATTTCAAACAAAAATAATAGTAATTAGATTTAGAGGATAAATTAATTTACATTACACATACATAAAGTGATATCAATGGTCTTAAATAATCCAGCAAAGAAATATTCTAAAAACACCATATTTGTTATACTTATTTTATAATGAAAATTATAATTAGAATTTAATCATATCAACTATTTCAAAAAGCCTCTACTCTTTGCACTTCTTTCAGGTAAAGAAAATTGTTGATTTAATATCAGCAACTTGCTCAGATTAGAGAATAATATGTTTCTAAAAACGATTAAAATTTACAATAATTCATAAAATATAGACATTTATTTTTCACGTTAATGACGATGCCTTCGTCATAAACCTTTAAATTTAAAGGAACTGGAGAATATTACAGCTTTAAAAGACCTTAAAATTAATTATTTTTATCTCTCTTTTGAAATCCTAAGAGCTAAACTGTTTAAAAATGAGTCTCTTCTGTTAGGTATTTTATAACTGAGATTTAACAATAAATCAAGATAATGTTACATTTTTTAACTAAAAAAAACCTCAATCTCCATTACACTGGGTTGTGGAAGACAAATGATGATTTTCTAATCAATCTCATACTGGTACATAAATGAATTTTTATGATTAATTTTGAGATAAAACCATTAAATTTTTTTTATATTAAAGGTGCATTTATTGATTAAATATTCACAGGTCTAAATCCGAATTCACACATTTAGAAAACTATTTTTGCAAATGTTCAGCTTTAGATGATTTACAGAACAAGTGTTCTGATTTCTGTGGTGTTTGGTTTCATAAAGATCTGACGTATACCTTGATATTCTGGTTTTAAAGTGCTACACATCTGAAGTTTGGTGACCTAAACTGCTGTGTAGAGCAAAATTTAACAAACAACCTGCTTCTTGAAACACAATTTATGGTAATTTTAATGCATTAAACTGTAGAAAATGTATTGAAAAAAAATAAAAGTAACAATCTAGTATGTACATCATTGATAATCACTGTAAGGTAACTAATTTTTAAAAAGTATTAACAAATTTTCATTATACAGTAATACAATTTTAAAATGTAAATTTTTTATGACAGAAAAAATATATTGGTATTTATATTAAAAACAAATAAATGCTTTGGGCCGACCAAAATATTTTGTGTTTATTTTTTAAATTTGAATTAAATACGGTATTTTATTTTTTTAAAGGAATAAAAAATAATAATGAAAATCAGAAGAAATGAAAGGATAAGACCTAAAAAAATTAAAATTGAAATAGTGCTTTTATTTTTTTTTTTTAGTGTTGTAATATTTTTGATGTAATGCTGTGCTTTTCAAACAGTGTGTCGGCCCCAGGGTGTAGGTGTGTTGGGTGAAAAAAAAAAAGCTATACCAAGGTTCACACTTTATTTAGACATCAAAGGAGCATTTAGAATGGCAAACAAGTGCCTTGACCTTCTGTCACATGGCTCCTGAAAGGTTACACTGAAACCCCTCTTTTCTCATATAGAAGCAAACAACTTGCTTGATTTCCCACTCTTAAATGTTAATAGTGTTATTCAAAGTTTTAAACTCTTGCACATATTTTCATATTAGTATCTATAGATAACAATCACATTATTCTTGGAAATGTATTTTATCAAACTAATCATATATTTAACACATTTAGATGAAAAGTTGTCATGCTATATCGTTTCTCCACACATTTTGTTATTACACTTCATGTTTTTGTCTGTATGTCATGAAATAGGTTAGTTGAACCCCCAGTATACTAGTAAAACTGAATTACCGTCTCATGAAATCCTGTTTGTCTAAAAAGTGTGTCACCAGCATTCAAAGTTTGGAAACCACATATAATAATCAAAAGCTTTCTGAAAACTATTAATTTTTGTATTCACAGTGAAAAAAAAAGAATGAAATTTACTCAGTAGTAAATAATTTTCTTTGATTCAGCTATATTTTTTCATATTGCAAAAAATTCAATTCAAAGTTGATTAAGGATAGGTTACATTTTAAATTTAATGATTTACCATTAAATAGGGAATATTTTTTAAAATCATTTTAAACAATTCTTTAATTACATTTTAATAATTAAATCAATGCTGGATACAACATTTGTAAATCATAAAGTAATAAAATTAAAGATCTAAATATTTCAAAATAAATTTATTTAAATTCTGCTCATCGCTTTACTCTTTTGGTATCATTAAGTACCATAAAAGCCAACATACAATTTATTACACAACAAGTGCAAACTTAATAAAGCAGTAAATAATTAGACTACACCCAAATCCCTCTTAGTATAAAATTAAATAATGTTTCATCACTGATTAATTATTAACAGATTTTAACATCGTAAGAATGAGATTTTAGTTATTTTTTAAAAAATCAGTTGTTTTTTTCTAAAAGAAAAACATGGTATTTAAAAAAAAAAATTGAATTATTAGGAAAAACACACTGTACAGTCAGTCATTCATCACAACCACTCTAGTAAATATTTCACTGGAATGACAGTTTTTTAAAAATAAAATAAAATTATATTTAATTATATTGAAAAGGAAATTTTTGATATACCTTGCCTTCATTTAAAACAAGATTAAGTGGCAATAACAAAAACTCAAACATTTTGTTCTTAGTGAGTTTGAGTTCTTTCTTTAAATTTCCAGTTTAATACTGCTTTGGTTTCGTAAAGAAATTAAAACTAACACTAAAAAAAATTATTAGAGGTGCTTTCATATGATATTTTACAAAATGTGGCAAGCTGTATAATTTTTAAATTTTTTTTAGTTACTTTCTCTTACAAATAAATTCAGTTATTAAGTAAATGCGGAAATAAATGGTTAATATTTGAATACCTTTTCAATATTTAAAAAAAAATAAAAAATTACATAATCCAGCAAGACACACTTAATTACATTAAATTTAAAGGTCAATTTCTTTTTTAAGAAATTCATCTATTTATATCTATCTATAATTCAACAAGGCAACTTTTAAATGATAATGACATGAAATTTTCAGACTATTTCAGAATAAAAGTATTTCATAACAATATTAAAACGCTTTACATATTTTAATGGAATCCAGAAATAAAATAGTGAGACCAAATAAGTCATACAACTTTAAAAGAATTTGACTGAAATGAGTGGTCACATAATTCAAAAATTGAATTTTAAAAAAAAAAACTCAGCATGTTATAAATTAAAATATAGACAATTTAGGACTTTTCAAGTTTTAGATTTAAAAACTGGCTTAAACATCACAGTTGGGTTTTTCAATGGAATGATAATTTCTTTGTTATGGAAATTTTAAAAATAAATATTTACACCAAGTACAAAGAAAGCAGCAGTGTAGTGAACTTAATGGCCTAAATGTAACTAGGTTTTACCTTGAGATAAAATGCCCTGTAACCCTTGTTATCTTACAGTTTATCACAAAGATTATGATAATCAGCTATAAGCTCAACTAATAAAGTGTCACTCTTGATTATTTGAAATTATGAAAATTGAATGGAGACATTGTTAGCTGATTCTACATTAGATTACCCTAATATTCATTTATAATTTTAGGAAATTTGATGCCTAGTTGGATTTTCTAACATAGGAGATTTTACAATTTCATTGATGATTGTTAGATCATCAAATTAAATGGCCTGATTTTACATAAACTTCCCCATAAATTTATACAGTTTGATTAAATTTTTGTTCTTCTATTTTCTGCTTAAAAATGTACCCTTTTAATTCCTTTAGTAAAATTTTACTAACAGACAAAAACAAAGACCATCAAACAGATTAAAAAGAATGATTGAAACCTGTAATTTCAATTAAATGAGCTATATTAGTTAACAGAGCTTTTGTCAATTTACATCAAGAAAATACAACCTTACATTAGGATTTACTTTTAATCAGTAGCAGATCAGAGCTTTGCAGTTTCATTGTTGTTGTTACTATTTTTCACTTTGAATAAAGCAACATTTTGTTTATGGAAGGATCATGAAATATTTTTGAATAATTTTAAGTACATTCTCTTACTTCCGTCTCCCCATTCACAATAATTTCTATGACACTTAGATCTTATTACTTTTTTTGTAAGACTAAGATAACAGGCCAAATCACAGACATAAAATAAACTGGCCCTAATGCTTTGATTTCTTATATAGTATCATTACAATTTAAAAACCAAAAAATGAAGCCCACCCCCACTTTTTTTGCATCTAAGTTGTAGCTCTGAACATGGAAATGGATCAAATTTTATTTAAAAGGGAAACTGATTATATAATTTATCAAGTGGTAAAATAAATTTTTTAAAATTTTACTAGTAAAATAAAGAGTCTTGTCTCTAAACTGCTGTAACTTTCTTAAATCATCCCCCCAATAACTTGTGCTTACCATTGTCATGTAGAAAAATGTGTATATGCATTAAATGAAAAATCACAGCCTTTCTTCCAACTTGACAAATTGTGGTTTAGTGTCACGTCACAAAAACTGATCGATGGCCGTCCTATGACTTCCTGCCAACATTGTGTGCAGAGTGAGGCCGCAGTTGAGAGGCCCCTGTACCAATGAGAGCTCCATATCCCATTCTCCGAGGAGAGCTGATGATTGAATTATTATTCGGTGTCCCAGAAACAATGGGTGTGCTAGGATTGGGAAGTGAGGGAGTGGCTGAAAAGTAACTCCATATAGGAGCACTGATGGGTGTGCCACCAGGGGTTCCTCTTGGTGACAAGGATCGGTAACTGTCCCCATTTAGAGAGCGAGATCCAGAATAATCCAAGCTGAAAGAAATAATCATTGATTTAGATAATACCTAAACAATATTTTTATTGCAGGCTTGTAACTTTTCAGAGCGTACTTACTTATTTAAGAAATCCAATACACAATTTCTGGTATTTCATAGAATTATTTTTGATTTCACACTTAGTTTTTTCCCCATTTTATTACATCTTTCGCTGCGGCGCCACGCCCAGTACATTCATCTGCCGTTATAAAAAGCACGAAGCAACACGCTCAGGGTTGTTTCAATATCATGTTTGTTTTTTGCTATTTCCCGTTTAAGCTTTTTAAGAGCTATTTTTAATAAGACTTTAACATAGAAGAGTGGAAGGGCCTATTCATTGTTTATACGCTAAAACAAGGTTTATTTGTTGTCATTTATTTTAATGATTTACTTCCCTGTTTTTTTTCTATAATACTGTTGCTATGGCTACCCTAGGCCGTAGTATGTGAGTAAGTTTCCTAGACGATTAACAGCTCAAAAAGCTTTGGAATTGTTTTATACTATTTCTTTTGATAGTGAAAATGATTTATATTTAGATCCATTGCATGATTCTGAAAGTAGTAGTTTTAGAGGATCTGAGATATAAAAGTGAAGATGAGGTATGCGTACAACATAGGGTTCGGGGATAAATTGTTTTGCATATAATGTTGTCACATTTTATTGCTCTTTTCTTCTTTTCTGTTTCTTTATCTTACTTCAATTATGTTTCATTTGCTACCAAGTTTAGTCTTATAAACCAAACCATAATATTTAAAATAATTTTTAATAAACACAACATCTCACTCTTTTTTGCTCTTTGAAAAAAATGTAAATTTTTTCGATAAAAAAATTTCCGCAGTAAAAGAGTTAAAGAGATTGAAGGCTTCCAAAATGTGGGGAAAAGAATTGTGCTGACATAAAAAAAAATTGTCCAAATAAACATTTTTTCCAATTTTCACATTATGTGTTACCAATGACTTATGTTATTTACAACATTAAATTATTAATTTAATTGCAGTTATTTTATACTACCAAAATTATTTCTCTCAGTATCTGTCTAAGTAAGTGTTTGTGTGTGTGTGTGTGTGCCTGGGTTTGTTTTGTCATGTAGATAAGATTATCTCCTATAATTTCTTACTGCGGATTTGAGCTGGGTTGAGAAGACAGATCGTCTTCACTGTCATACCGTCTAGGGTTGTCAAAGAAAAATACCCTTGATCCATGACTTTGTGTGGAAAAATCTGTTAACACCTGGAAAAAATTATGTTAATTACAAAAACTAAGTAATAATATGCTGATAAAATTATCTCAATCAATAGAAAAAAATATTAGTTTTACAAATTTCTGTCATTACGATAGGAATTCATCCCCTACCTGTGGCGCTACAGCCCATGTAGGGGATTTAATAAATACTTATTTAAAAAAAATATCAAATTTTTGTTAATTAAAAAACAACTACAGGGAATTACCAAAAAGCAAAATTAACTTTATATAATATATGAGCTATGATTTAATTCCAGAAGGACATTCATTTACCCACCTGACCAGAGCTGAAACGTTTGACTCTGAAGAAAATAACAACCAAGGAAATAGGAAGAACTTCCCAAACAAAAAGAACCAGACCAAAAGATACATAAGCAAGACTCTCGGACAAACGTGGTACAGAATCAGCCTGTTGATGAGACAGAAAATAGTTTGTTTTTTAGAAGCAGTCAATTTATATAAAATTAGCACTTTATTTAAGTTTTAATTTTTGGTAATAGTAGAGTATTGATTAATGTGAAATATCTAAAATATTTAAATTAAGTTTAAAAAAAATAAAAATGAAGGCAATGATGATGATTAAAATATCACACATATTACTTAAGACTGCAGGAAAGTCAAACAAAAAATCCTTTCATTACCATTTTGTAGCTAAAGTTCATAAAGAACACATACATACAACAATATACCTGTTTTATGTGTTCTTTAAAAAAAATAATTTGCTAAAATATTTACTTCATCTTCAGTAAAGCTTTCCATAATGTGTATCAATTTACAAATTATTTGAAACTTTCTTAAATTTTTACAGAGGACTAGACTTCTGACTATATTATGAGATCTCATCTCATGCAAAAGCAAATTATAACATCTGATTCAAATAGATTTTACTATTTGGGTTAAAATCAAACATTGAATATGGTTTTTAAAATTCAAATGTTTTATTTTGATCAATATAAACAAAATAAATGTTTTAAAATACCTGGTCCGTGACATTGATCCAATCATAACCAAAGTTTGGAGTTGACTTCATTGCAGGACAGATAGAAATGAGGTTATACACAGTACGTGACAGAAATAAAAGGGTTATCAAAATTGTGACCACCACTGCTCTTCTGACAGTGGTTCCCTGAGGAGAAAATCATGCACGGGAATCAAATAATGGCCACTTATGATGATTTATTTAAAACTGTCTTTAAACCACATTTATTATTCATGAATGAATTTCTTAGCCATTTTTCTAAAAGTGTGTGTGTGTGAAGTTGGGGGCGGGTGTGCTGTGTGTTTGTTTTCTATTAGGCTTATTCATCAAATATATGCATCATATAAAATTAGCACATTTTGTGAAATGTTTTTAAAAGCATCTACAATAACTTTCCAGGTAGATGATCAATTTGAAAAGCTTTCTTGATTGAAGTATCATTTTATGTATTCCCATTTTACTCAAATATCCCTTTTTAAAGGTAGCATATAATATAATAAATACATGGAGAAAAACAGAACATTTTAAAGAGGTATTATTTTTCACAATTTAATTATGTCTTTTGAAAATCAAATTTGTAACATAGACATCCTAAATGCAAACCCAATTTTAGAACAATTTTTTAAAATTAAAAAGCATTTTTCTTGGTAAAAAAAAACCACACGAGCAATAATTTAATATCTTTCTTTACCTTAGCTTCTAAAACCCTTTGTGATGTGGCCATTTTAGTCATTTTGAAGATGCAAACTGAGAGCAATATTCCATATATTAAAAACATGGTTTCTGTCAATGTGACACGTATGTAGAATAAAAACAGAGGAACTGATGCATACTCCATTTCATGTTGTTTGGTAACAATAGCACAAGCTAGATTCATGGCTGTGAACAGCAGCACAGAGAGACAAAGAAAGATACGAAGTGGGCGTCTGCAGAGAAAAAAAACAACAAACACAAATGATCTTGTAATGAGGTAAACTTAGTAAAGTTTTTCACATTTGATCAAAATATTTGAATTTTAACAAATCAAACACAAATAACACAGATCAAATAAGACTGGCGGCATGGTCATTAGCTTAAACATCAAACACCTTATGTAATCTGACGATGGGAGTGTCACTAGAAATAAATTAAAACTCACTAGAGTGCTAAAGATTTTCAGGCCAAATTTGTCAAGTTCCAAATTTTTATGAAGCAAATTCTGCATAAATTGTGTAAGATTCAAATTAGATTAATACAAATTTAAATATGCTCATTGAAAGTGTGCTTAAACAGATCCTTCATAGACATGAAAAGTGTGAATACAACTTGATAGTGTCACATAATTGTTGAGACTTCAAATTTAGATACTTACTGGTACTGCCCTGGTTCATATTTAGCTTTTGCCTTGAACACAACCTGAAAAAAAAAAATCGTCATTGTTATTCTTTATGTGCCAGGAGTTATGCCTCAATTTGAAAAAATAAGTTGAGAGCTTGTTTTATTCTTTATGTGCCAGGAATTATGCCTCAAATTGAAAAAATAAGTTTAGAGCTTGTTTTAATCTAATGTGTATAAAAAATTGAAGAAAAAAAAAGACTTGTGGAAAGTGGCAGATTTATGAGAAGACAGTACAAGATAACATTGCCAAACCACAAAATTTAAAATCACAAATATTTAAAGCAATTAAAAATAAAGATTACTAAAGGGAGAAAAATTGAGAACCTTTATCAGTTAGGCTTTAACACAATAGGCTCTACTCTACAAGAGGGTCATATAAAACTTCAGAAATGTTTTAGCTGTTAAATTAATGTCAGGTACTTCATTTAAGGATTTACTATACTGATTGCAAGGCAATTATTTTATTACTATAAGGTCCCATGCACAAATTATATAATGCCAAGGGGGTAGGGGTTAAAACTTTGTTATATTGTATTATATGGGGTGGGGTAGTAGAAAGTAGGGGTCCAATACTGGCCCCTTTTACAAAGTTCTTTATTTTTTATATTGAAGTTTTATGAATATCAGAATCCTCGATATTTTCAATATTTAGAGAATTTTTTGCAGAGATGAAAGTGGACGATTTATCAATGAAATAAAAACATTCAGAACAAATCACATTTTGATTTTTAATAGCTTTTAACAATAACACAAATGTCTAACTCCAGACATTAATCAAACATACAAAAATAATATTCTTAACTTTTTCATTTAGATAGTTTTATTAATCAAATATTAAAATAATTTGTGTTCTTTGAATCTTTGGTCAAACTTAAGCAATGATATCATAAAAATTTCAACATGTCTATTGTTTGATTGCTTGATTTTGACCGCAAATGGTTACAAAAGTAATTTGATGATGAGAACACAAGCTCAGACTCCACACTGTTCGGAGGAATAGACCCTAGAACATCATACGCAATTTCTAGATATTTTCCTCTTGAACCCCCATTCTTAAATTAAACCATCTCTAGTTTTACCAATGCATCAATGTCTTCATTAGTTGATCTGGAAGTTTTATTCTTAGCTTCAAGTTTCTTTTGTATTTCAATTTCTAATTGTTTCTAAAGCATCAGTGTGTCTTCAGGTTCTTCATGCTCAGATCCAAGATGTTCAATCTTATTGCCTGTAGACATTTCTAACGAGGAATCCGCTATTTGACCAAGCTTTTGAATGTCCACAATATGTTTGCACATCTGTCGCAATCTGACCTTAGAAATACGTCCAAGTAGTCATTTGACTAATCAAAGTGCATCTTAGGGTTATGCCAGTATTTCAATGTTAAAGCTACCAACAATCTGGGCTCTTTAATCCGACGCTTCAGAGAGGCAACAAGTTAATGTGCAACTATTCCATGACGCATGGTATCTAATTTATTAAACATAAAATCAAAGCTGTTCTTCTACCTGTTGCTTTGAGTATTTTAAATATTTTGCTAAGATGAAACAGTTTTTCAAATTCGTCTTGAGATCAATTTTTTAATCAATAAGTGATATATTAATTTGATTTTTTTAGTCTTAATATCCTTCCTAACATGTCTGCTTAAAAGTTCCACCTTGTGTTGCAATCTAAAATCAAATTAAGCTCACGACCTATTTCTTAAAATATATCTGAAGAATTGTATTTTCTGAAAGTTTTGGCAATTTTTCTAACGTTCCCAATTTAAATCTTTGAAAACAAATTCATTATTTTAAATGAACTCAACTGTAACATGAAAACTGCAGTTGTCATTATCTTGTGACATGTAGTGCGAGGGGCTCGCACTTCGCAAATCAAATTAATTATTGGTAGTCTTGCTTTAACTACCACATGGAAACTAATAAAAGTGATACATAGTTTTTGAAAATGAAATACCGTAAATTAAAAAATCCTGGTTATCATAAATCCAATCACTGTATTTTTAAGCATACGTTATAGTCCGGTATCCCTGTATTTTCGAGAGTCGGTATTCCGGTTTGCGACCCCTAGTGGAACGCAATGTTAAATAACAATTTTTTTATTTGCTTGTTTTTATAAATTAATATTTTTGCAAAATTTCTGCTTTTCAAATTGACAAAATTAGCATAGATTTTTAAAAATAAAAATGTATTTTTTGGTGGTTAGCACATTTAAAAAAAAAAAAAGTTTCTGGCCTTTTGCTTGAAATTTTCTTGAAAGTACTGGGGTAACCAAAAAGTAAACAATTTATCTAAACATTTACCTAAGTGTAACTGTAAAATAAATTTCCCTTGTTTTTACACACTTTAGCTTGTGATTATGCTTTATTGTCTGGGTCAAATCTTGCATCTCAATTTTTCAATTTTGAGCCATTTATTGATCTCCAGTTGAGCTGAAACTTTGCACACTTACAACACCCCCCCCCCCCCCTTTCCATGCCAAATACTACTCTTCTTGATAAGTACATCCATGGACCCTTGAGTGACGCTTTTTTTTTTTGGTTGTATGGCTTTTACAGGTCTGTTTTGGGGGACATTAATTTTATACATATTATTACATTTTGGAAACAATTGTTTTATAAATTGATTTTTTTATATTGCTTTATTTTGGATCAGTTTAAACAATTAAAACCTGAAATTTCTATAGGACATACAGATCATTTGAAGATGGATATTTTGGCAGAATAAAATGCTTTGCAAGATTAAGCTGTGTATTAAATGGTCCCTCTCCATGACATAGGGAAGTTTTTCAAAAAATCTTTCAAGAAGTTGAAACAAACAAATGTCAAGTTGAATAAAAGTTTTAAAAAAAAATAATATGATTCCCATCATTCTCAACAAAAATAATACTAATAGGCTACTGTATAAAAAATATAAGTTAAAAAAGAACACACCTAAATGCAATTACAGTTGATTCATGTATGTAAATGAAAATTTCTATAGAACTAAAGAATATAGTTTTTTTTTTACATATCTCATTTAGACATGCTTAAGAGCATCTGAATTTTTTATATTTTCTTCAATGCATGAAAATTTAATTAATAGGATAAATAACACAAGAAGAAAATAGACCTACTTATCACATGCCCTATCTTTAAGGCCTAGATTAGTATGTAAAAGTGAGCGTGATTACTCCCCCTTATGCAAGACAAACAATGCAACCCTCTTAGCCCTCCACCATATCTCAATGAAAGCTATTGCAACTGTGCACACATTCTTTCTGGTCATATGACTCACTATCATACATCTGTTGTTAAGAGAAGATTAACCTATATTTAGAAACTTCAATATATTTTATATCCTAGAAAAATATAAAATATTCTTTACACTTCAAACAGGTTCTCTATACCCCCACCTCACAATACATAATGAGATAACAAGATAAAGAAATTAAATAAAAAAAGTTTAATTGATATATTTATGATAAAGAGGATATAGTGAATTTTAAAAGTGTATTGCTTCTGAAGATTATGTCACGTATCTGTCATGACAATAGTTTCTTTATCACAATTGGGCAAGGCCCACTTCATTACTCCTATTGTTAACACTATGTCAGAAGGGCCAATAGAAATTTCTCACTCCATTTCATGAAATAGTAACTCAAACTTAATAATTACTGCTCAAATTATTTCCACTTAAAATATAACACTTGAAAAAATTATTTTGTTAAAATAAAGATTTATTTTCATGATTTGAAATTATTTTATATATTCAGTTTATATTATAAGAAGTGATGATTAAAAATTATTTTTAAAAAATAATAAAAATAAAATTTAACAAGTAGGCTACAACACCAATTAAAATTAAAATTTCTTTTTTTACTCAAAAACTCTAAATAAAAAAGAATATATGTATGTTAGTGTTTAGCATGAAAACAACAAATATAATTAATAATGATTAATTTAAAATTTTAAATCTGGTATTCCCACCTTAAAAAATTACTTTTTATAATTTAGGCTATACAACATAGGTAACAGGGGAAAAAAGTATTTTTTGAATCGCATGTTACATATTTTGGGACTTAAAATATTGTTATAATATTGTGGGATTTAAAAAAAGCATTATGCATGCATTTCTTTATTTAACACAAAGGCAGTTAATAAAAACAGCACAATAAAAGAAATAAACAAAATATTCTGGACTATGTTCTTTATGAAAATAACTTAATAAGCTGATTAAAAACACCCAAATAGGTTAAAAAAGAGAAATATTTCAACTAGGATTATCACAAATTCATTAAAGTGGCATAGTAAATTTCAATAAGAAAAAGAAAAAAAGTAAAAAAGCATGTATTCTGCTATCATATGTCATCTGTATTTGTAAAACCCTATTTGACAGATTTTATCCAATTAAAGATTAGCTTATGCTAATTAATTAATTTTATTATTATGAACACATACAACTACAATGTTATCAGGCACAGATTAACCATTAGGTAAATACCCGCAAAATACAAAGAAAACAATCTAGAATTTAAAAAAATACTATATGAATAGCAATTTTATAGTAATAAAAAAATTAGCAAATATTTTAGATACTAAATGATGTGCCACATAATTTTATCATCACCTGAAAGTAAAATGTATTTTCAAGGCAGTGAAAAGCTGATTAGTGCTCACCGTCACTGCTCACCCAGTGCAGTGGCATAGGAAGGGAGTGCGGAAGAGCAGTCCACTCTGGGTAGAAATTTATTCTTTATACGCAGGGGTGGCATTTTAGGCCAGCAGAATTTTTTCGTAAAAGGGGGCGACAAAAATCTTGGACTGCTCTAGGCACACTAACCTTAGCTATACTACTGACCCAGAGGAAATTAATTTTCACTAGCATCTCATCTGGTTCACAAGTGCATAAAACTAAATTCAGGTATGCCAAAAATGCACCCCTGTATTTTGAATTTATAAAAAAAATTCAGAAGGGTTCGATGAGACCTCTACCCACTTTCACTTGTCTGCCTTCAGCACCCTCGATTTAGCATTTCCATTCTCCATCAACACTCTGTGGCTTGGTTGTCCCCCCCCCCCTCCTTTTTTCCAAAAGTCCTGTCTATGCTACTGAATTCTAAGTCATTGTGAGACCTATATATATAAATATGTATCTAATATAAGGTTTCATTCAATGTTTCATCGCTAACTCAGGAAAAGTAAAAGTAATTCGGCCTCAGATCTTTAATTATTTTGTACTAAAATATGAGGAGAAAAAATTTGTATACACTTGAAAGATAGCTTCTAATAACATAGGTATTTGTTTCCAGGTCATTAATGTGAAATAGTAGTTAGCAATTTGTGGCTATATTTATGAAAAGTTTTTCATTTTTATTTTGTCTCAGTCAGAGTAAAGTGAAGAGCTCTTTTTTCATATGAATATAGTAGCCTACATACCAAATTATTAATATAATAAGGATTAATAGCCTACATACCTGAGCAAAAAAATGTAGCAGCAGACACAGCATTGAGAACTGTAAACAAACTGGGAAACTGTAGAGCAGCCAGTAAAATGGAATCTTTAAGTTATTGGCTTCCTCACAGTCATAGAAGTAAAATGAAAACAAGGATGTTCTCAATCCAGCCCAAACTAAGCCCATAAAAAGAAACAGAGTTTGATGACTCAAACGTTTGTGTCTGTAGTACCATATCATCCAAAGTTGAACATATACCAAAATAAAAATTAAAGAAAACATCACTATGTACACAATAGTTAGGCTTAACTGAACTGTTGAAGGTAATGCTGGCTGCAAAGTTGGCAATGATCCCCATGATGTTATATCAGTTACAGTTGCAGGGGTTGCATCAAAGGCGACAGTGATTTGTTCAGGTTTGGCAAAATGTTCTTTAGTCAACCCCATGGTTTTCATTGCAGAAATTGAATCATTGGTAGATGAAATGAATGTTAATGATGAATTTTGAGTTACATTTTCAGTTGATATATGCCTCCCAAATTCAGTAGTGGAAATGTTACTCCAGTCTTCTTTAAATCTGGAACCATGTGGAATTAAACTAAGAACAGGCATGTCTAATTTTCATTATTTCTTTACATTTACATGGGATCATCAGTGCAGATGTAGTCAACAAGATTTAGTTTTACATTTACTCATTTACAGTGTAATAATAATACTAATGCACTGCTGTTTTCTTATCATTCTTCATTAAAATTAAGTATTAATTCAATCACTGAACTGCAGAAAATTGCAAACGAAAGTGAATCTAGTAGTTCGGTTGTAGTGGGTTAGAGGAAGTAGACTAATTTTTTTAGACTGCTCTAACTTTAAGTTTAAGTGACACTCGACTCTGGTGCTACTCTTCTTTATTTTCTTTGGTCTTTACACTTTACTTTAACCTTTATTTATCTTAGTAGTAACTTTCAACATGCATGCAGAATGGATTGTCATATTTTTATGATTAGGCTACTTCTCAGAGAAGACACACATTCTCCTAAATTAACACAATCGATAAACAAATCGCATACCAAAATTGCCACCAGTACTAACACAGTAGTGACAGTACACACCACTCAACACTGACCCCAGCAAGTCAGCTGATCCTAATCTCACTGATCGTACTTGTTTGTAGATAGTTTAGTAGATATTAAATTTAAATAGGCCTACTTCCCAGGTGAAGATAGAATTTTAAGTTCAAATGCCTCAGAATTAAATGAGCCAAATATGTATTTCACATTAAAAAATGCAATTTTGTTGTAAATTATTAATTTAATCAAATAGACTTGATTTGTTTACAAAGCCAGGCCTGCTGCAACAATGTGTCAAGTCAGGCCGTATTGTTTGCTCAGCTGGAGGTGGTGGCAGTAACACGGAAATAGATCCCACTTTGAACTTTCATGCCCTCTAACCTTCAACCCTTCAGCCCTTTTATTATTTTTTTTTTGTAGGGCTCCAATACGATTATTATTAACATTGTTTTGAAGGATAAAATTGAAAAATAAAAAGAACACTATTTCAAACAATTGAATTGATAAATTATACCTTACGAATTTTAATGGCTTTGTTTTAATATTCAATATTGCTCATCATATTTTTTAGCGCGGCATGCTAATATGGCAGCGCCCTTGAATTTGTAAACATGGAATCTTGGTGACGAAAATTGTTTACAAGATTAGAATATTTACAGTAAAATTAACAAAAATTATCAAGAGCTGAGAATGTTGAATTGCTTGTTTAATAAAACACTTTTAACCAAACGAATTAGATTGTTGCATAATTTCAGACTCAAAAGCAGCAAGTCAAAAAATGAAAAATCGAGCAGCAAAAGTAAGCGCTATTCAAATACTTTAAATCTACCAGAGACATTGTTTCCATTGTCAATGAAAAATGGAGCAGCAGCATTACGTGAACGCGACATTCAACAGGTGATTAGTTTAAATTTATATATATGACGGTAATCCCTTATTTTAGTGCGTTTTATTATTTATTACCATATATGACAATATATTTATAATTATAATAATATATACAATTGTAAATACTTTGCATATCATCGTGGGGAGTACCTTCTGACCTCCCCCCCTTTTTTTTTTCTGCAAAAAAACAGCAAAGTAGGATTTATATCATATAGTATCATACAGGCCTATATTATATTTTGTAAAGCCCTAAAGCTTAACCCTTACATTACCTACCTACTTTTTTGCTATTTATAGCCTGGGTACTGGCTATTATTTTTCTAAGTATTCCCTGTCGCCCACACATTGACATTATCTTTTGAAATGAGGAAAAATTTGATAGGTTTGCAAATTATTTTGTAACTTTTTTGTTTTAAACAATTATTTCCTCGTTTTTGTGTTTAAACACTTAACAGTACCATAGTATACACTCTTAATTGTAGGCTAAGCAAAAATAATTAAAAATTTGATTTTTTTCTTAGAAAATGCTTATTTAAAAAAATCTATCAATATCCATGTCCTGTGTGTGTGTCTGTGTACAAATATTTAAAATTTGCATTAGTGGAAAGTACATTTTCTGTCATATGAGCTACCAAAATGTTTTTAAAGATCATTTTTAAGTGTTTAGGTTTTTAAAATTAAAATTAAATTATGTTTTTATGCCTCTTTTAAAATTTGGAAAAACCAGACTAATGCATTCAGAGAATTACACCGTTACGTAGTTCTTGCAAATAATTACACAAACGTACTTGTGATAATGGTTTACCACCAACTGAAATTAGTGAAATGCTCTCAAGCTTTCTACTACCCTCTGTCCATCCAGCAATATGTAAATACTGGTCACTGAAGCATAGCTCTCAAATTCTATATTTAGACTTTACCAAAAATATATAGCATACCTATCCCAAAGGTCACTTTGATCTTACTAATAGGGTTTAAACTTCATTATGACCAAAAATGATGGTCTTGTAAGAACTAAACAAATATTCCTGTCATTTTTGAATGTGTGCAATTATTTTTTATTAATTCAGTGAAAACCTGTCCAAAACTGTATGGCCATACATATCTTAAACACTTACAAACATGTAGAAAGTATAGGTACAAAATTTTAGCTGGTAAGTATGCATAAGCATAAATTTGAAGTAGGAGGATGAAAGTGAAAGATGACTACATATGCACTCAGTTCCCTTTAGGGATTCCTAAGAAAAGTGATGTCATTGTCAATTTTGCCTTCACATGCAAGGGGGAAGACAGATGGGATTTTTGTAAATCCCTCCCTTGACTTAGGGACATTCATTAAATCTTTACTCACTTTTACAAAAAAATAGTTTTGACAGACAATAATTTTATCTTTCAGACTAGTTCTTTTCAGACTTTGTATCACTGGCAAAGGAAACAAAGCTGGGATAAGGAATTTGTCCTACATGATGGACCACCTTACGCTAATGGAAAACCTCATGTGGGGCATACAGTTAATAAGGTATTTTTAAAAATAATCTTTACAACAAAAAAAACTTATACAAAAAAAACTTATTATGTCTTTAAGCATAAGAGCCTAATTCATATATATTAAAGAATCCAGTTAGGAAAGACATTGTGAGACACTAGATTTAGATAAAGTAAAGATGTATTAGTTACTTTAAAAAGACATTTGTAACAATTAATTAAAAAAATTAACTTTTATATTTTTTAATTGCAATCAGGTGTTAAAAGACATAACTAACCGATATAAAGTATTAAAGAAACATAAAGTTCACTACCGACCAGGCTGGGACTGTCATGGAATGCCCATTGAAGTTAAAGCTATTACAGACAAAAAGGGAAATCATCTTCAATTAACACCTTTAGAAATAAGAGCCAAAGGTATGAATGTATAGTATAAATAAAAAATAAACTCATTTTTAGTTTTATCCTCCATGTAAGTTAATAGAAGATTTTACCAATCCATTTTTAACTGTACTGTTTAAAAAATATTTGAGTAAACATATCATATAAATAATATGTTGTTTCTAAACAACACTCAACAAAAGAATTTATTAACTTTTTCAACTCATTTCTCAACAATTTTTTTTTTAAATCTCTAAACTTATGGGGATTAGTTTTAATTATGAGCACCACTAACACATGAAATGACACTGTGGCATTATGTGATTTTGTATATATTAAAAATTTGTGGTCAAGAAATTTTCTTAAATGAAAATAATTTTGAATGCACAATTAAACAAAAATTTATTTTCAAAAATAATATTTCCAACAAAAATAGGATTTTATTTAAACAAATTTCAGCCCAAAAATTTGCAGAGAAAGCTTTGCTTGAGCAAAAAGCAGCCTTTCAGCAATGGGGAGTCATGGGGGACTGGAACAATGTTTACAAAACATCAGCACCAGAATATGAGGCTAAACAGTTGGAGGTTTTCTATAAGATTTATAATAAGGTAATTTTACATAACACAATTTCTGACCATGCTCTACTCTAAAGAATGCTCTCACAATTGACAAAGAATTTGAGATGTTATTAAAAGAAAAAAATATAAACCTATTTAAAATGGTTTACTCTGCTTAATTTTCTGAGGCTAATAAATTTGATTTTGTTCCAGGGTTATATTTACAGAGATTATATGCCAGTCTACTGGTCTCCATCATCTCAGTGAGTCAACATTTTTTTCCCCCACATAGTACATTAGGTATGAATAAAATCAGACTCATAATTATTTTGTATTATGCTGAAGCCTGGATTAAATCATTATAAACCAAAATGCTACCATACCCTTTTCATCAACATTCCATATTTGACAAATCTGTGTCATAGTTTTCATACATTTTGTCTTGATACTTGTCAGGTCAGCACTTGCAGAAGCAGAGCTGGAGTACAACTTAGATCATGTCAGCAAATCAGTGTATGTCAAGTTCCCTGCCATGATGCCACAATTCTCTAATACTTTAGGTCAGTCAAGTCTAACTCTTAGTGATGCAAAATAGATTACATGCATGAATGAAATTTGACGGTTAGATCTAGGTTCTAAACACACACAAAAAAAAAAAAAATTCTAAAATTCATCAAGATTTTTTGTTTAGTAAATTTTGTTACGAGCTAGAGACAACTATTATTTTTATTTCAATATTGATATCTTCAAATGACTTCATTTTATTGTTCCATATATGCCAAAAAGAGTCATATTGAGTTTTTCTTTACTTTGTTTCAGGAACCAATGCTCAGGTTTATGCAGTGGTGTGGACAACAACACCATGGACTCTTCCATTCAACCAAGCAATCTGTTACAGCTCTAAAATAAAGTACCTCAACATTTTGTTTCTTTTAATTAAGGAAAATTAAGCTACCCTTTTTAAAATTAAATTAAATATGTTTTAGAATTTGTTCTAACACCACTGAACTGGCCCTTTTGTGAATGATTTATAAATACCAATTTAAACTCACATGGCTTATTATTAATTTATCCAGGTTACTGTCAGTCAATAACTATCTATTTTTTGTATATTCTGTTCTAACCGTAAAGCTATCCATAATTGATTTATGATACCGTAATGTTGTCAGTGTTCCCTCTCATACCAGGTCAATCATTATGCAGGGTTTACTTAGTGTTACATGCTTGGTGTATTAGTTATGCAACGATGAATTTTCTGGGATAAAACTCCAGGTCTTCCAAGATGAATTCTAGATATTTCCACTAAGTTATTCATTGAGACCGCTCATTAGAATTTTAAAACTTTATTTCTAAATTATATTCAAAATAAAAAGAATAAGCACTGACATTAAGTTCTGAAGAAAAAAAAGGGAGGTGGGGGGTATTTTATTAAAAATACATTTTATTTTATCTATCTAAGCCAGGGGTCTCAAACTCGCGGGCCATTTGCAGCCCGCGAGATGATATTTTGCGGCCTGCACGCTTTCCATCTTCTCCCATCTATTATGTGACCCTTCATGACAGTTTAAGTTGAATCTTACAGACTAGTCTAATTCTAATTTTATTTTGTTTGTGTAGATTTGGACATTGATTATAATGGTAAAACTGTTTTAAAATCGGACTCAAAGTTTTTATTTTATAGTATTTTATGAGATAAACATGGCCAAAGTGCGGTTTTGAGAAAAGTTTAAATATTCAGTTAGTGGTTGATGCACAACCATAATTGTATAGATAGCAATCTGACACAGTATAAAGGATCCCTATTAAAATTGCCGCTAGTGTTTACGAGTGAGGGAAATTCCGACCCTGTCAGCTTATCACGTTCAAAATAGGGTTTGTCAAAAAGGCCTTTTCTAAGATGAAAAATCAAAATGCACTCTACCTATAATAGCATCTTCCTTCACATCAATAATTCATAAAAATGGCCTGCCCCTGCCTACTGTTTGAACACGTTTTAGGATGGGGTGGTTGTTCCTGTACTAAGTGATCCCAAATAGGGTCAACAAAAAGTTATGAGACCAGGGGAAGCTTGTCAGAGTTGCCTATGACAATGTGAGGGCATTATGCACAAAAGTTATGTTATGGTTCGCAGAGAAACCTCTGTACACAAAGTACTCATGGACTCGGGCAGAACATTCAGTAGTTAGTTTACTGATGCCATTGCAAAGCTACAGGAAAAATTTGATCACATGTTTTCAGACCTCAAAACACACAGAGTCACTTTTCACATTTTAGCCGACCCTCTCTCCTTCAATGTGGAAAATTCCCCACCCCTGCGCTTCAAATGAAGGTGATTAATCTTCAGTGGAATTCTAAGTTCAGGGAGGTGAATTATATAAATAACAGACAAGCATGGACAATTTATGAAAGCATTGCCTTCAACCTTCCCTGAGATTTCCAGGTTTTTCAAGTGGATCATGTGCCTTTTTTTGGGAGTACCTATCTGTGTGAAAAGCTCTTTTCCACTATGAACTTTAACAAGTCAAAGCTCAGGGGCCAATCTTGCTAATGAGCATCTTTAAGCTATACTGAGGGTCTCAGTTGCTTCCTGACTCAAGCCAAAGTTGCTCAGCTGTGTAAGAAGAAGCGATGCCAGGACTCTGGCAAAAAGGAGTAGGAGGAAGAAAGTGAAGCCTAGCTCTTGAGAACCCTTAATGTTTTTATTTTTTATTAATAAAGATTGAGCAGATTGTAAATCTAACTTTATTGAATTTGTAATTGCTTTTTTGTGTGGAATACTTAATGCGGCCCAGTCTCACTCAGACTCTACCTCCTGTGGCCCCCGGAAGATTTGAGTTTGAGACCCCTGATCTAAGCTCTGTACCGTATGAATAAATTAGATATTCCACTGGAAATTGTATTCCAGGAACTTGATAACTCAAAGTATTCTGTGTTTTCTAGATATGGATTTTTGCGCAATGGAAAAAATGCAGAGATTTATTTGTGTGAGGAGGCTTTTATTGAGAAGCTCGGCCATCTGCTGTCCAATGATCTGGAACTTGTTTTATCTGTTGAAGGTAGTGATATGCTTCCTTATGTTCATTTTAATAGTTTTAATGTCTTGCTCAGTTGAACCAAAGGAAATTAACTTATTAAAAATAGTGAAAAAAAACAAACCATTATTAAATGTTTTATAATATAGGAACTGCAGTTACAAAAAAAAAAAAAATGTAAATAACAAATAAATACTAGAGATTTAATGTTCAAAAATGCAGATCCAGTGTATATGAACCTTGTGTTACAGGTGTGTCACTGCAAGGATCTTTCTACACACATCCTATCACTGGACAAAAGCTTCCATTCTTGCCATCTACCCATGTTTTGCCTGGAAAGGGCACTGGACTGGTCCACATTGCTCCAGCTCATGGGCACGATGATTTTGGTGTGGCCAGGGAACATAAACTTCCAAAAGTAAGACCAGAGAAAAGCTTGAGTTAACATAATAATTTTGCTGTAAGTAAGAAACAGTTATAAGATAGAGTAAAGAATGACTGATGTCCATGTGAAGCAAATTATTTCTTAAATTTTTTTAGTCTTTATCTTTAGTTGCTTTTAAAGAATGTTAGTTTGATTTTTTTTATGTTTCCCTTTTTAGGAATGTCATGTCGATGAGAAAGGAAGATATGTCTCAGGTGTAAAAGAATCTCTTACTGGAAAAACGATTGGTGTTGATGCAGATGAAGCAGGTAATAATAAATTCATAAGGCAAAAGAGACACATTAAAAGACCTCCTTTTTTTCTATATATAATAAGGAAGATTACACAAAATATACACACAATATAAAAGCCATTCTAACAAAATATTAAAAGTATTTGTCAATTTTAGTGAACAGTTTTTTTTCCTAATATTCCACGTTGCTGTGATTGGTCAGATGAGAATTACCCATTAACCCCTAACCTTTCCTCTCTGATATATTACATCTCCAGTGATAGCAGAATTGGGTGAACACTTGATGAAAACAGAAGATTATGTGCACAGCTATCCATATGATTGGCGGACTAAAAAACCAGTCATAATAAGAGCCAGCAAACAATGGTTTGTCGACCTGACTGCACTTAAACCACTTGCTCTGGTAAATTTCTATTTGTAAAAATGAAAAAAAAATGTTTTCTTTTAACTCTTGATACTACGACAGGGACACATTTTTTAAACTGAAATTAAATTAATTGATTCTAATAATGAACTTGATTGATGTTCTAAGTCATCTTTTCATGTCCTCATCCTCCTCATCCTCATGTCCCTTAGTCCTCGGACCGTTGGGGTGCCACAGATGACATGTGAACCATCCTTTTCCATTCCTCTGTCTTCAGCACTACGCACTGCATCGCCCAGTGTTAGTCCTGTCCACTCTTTGATGTTATCCTCCCATCTTTTTCTTTGTCTTCCTCCTCTTTTCCCTCCTCTTGTGATGCCCTGCAATATTTCCTTGGCCAGCCCTTGTTTCCTTGTTACGTGGCCGTACCATTGTAGTTTGCATTTTTTCACAGTTACCAGTAGGTCATCGTACTCCCCCATTGCCTGATGAACCCTTTCTTTCAATGTATCATTGGAGATGTGGTCCCTTTAGCAGATGCCGAAAATGCTTCTGAAGCATCTCATCTCCATCGCCTTTATTTTCCTTTCAAGATCGGCTGTTAATGTCCAGGACTCGCATGCATACAGGAAAATGGAGAGAACTAATGAGCGCATCAGCCTGATTTTGGTGCTGGGGGCTATATTTTTGTCATTCCATATTTTCTTGAGCTTCTTTAGTGCTGTTGTAGTCTGCGCAATCCTGGACATCAGTTGGGGCTTGGAGCCTTCTTCTGAGACTATTGCTCCTAGGTATTTGAAGCGGCCGACGGTCTCTAATCTTTCCTCCCCGACAATTTCAGTGGTGATGCCTGCGGTATTATTTGTCATCAGTTTTGTCTTTTTCGGCACTGATTAGCATACCGTAGGACGACTAGGTCTTATCGAGATGCTTTACCATGTTGGCTAGCTCTTTTTCGTTCCCAGCCAGTCAGTCTATGTCGTCCGCAAAGCGTAGTTTGTTAATTGTTCTGCCACCAATGCAGACTGTCCCTTCATGCGCTTCCAGAGCATCTGACATAATTCTCTCTAGGAAGATGTTGAATAGGGTGGGGGAGAGCAGGCAGCCTTGTCGTACTCCAACCGTGGTCTTGAACCATTCTCCGATGTTGTTGCTGAGGAAGACTGCACTGGTGACCTTATCATTAAGGTTGCATATCATGCTGGTTAGGTTTGTGTTGATGTTGTAGTGCCTCATGGTGGCCCATAAAGCAGCATGCCAAACCCTGTCAAATGCTTTCTTGAAAGACGTTGTATAGATTTTGTTGGTGTTGAGCATATTTCTCACATAGTATTCGGAGGTTTAGAATCTGCCCAGTAGTGCCCCATCCTTGTCTGAAGCCCGCCTGTTCTTCAGCAATGATTCTGTCGGCATATGATTTTAGTCGGTTCAATATGACCTTCAGCATGACCTTGCTTGGATGGCTTATTAGGCTGATTATGCGATAGTTTTGGCATAGATTTAGGTTACCTTTTTTGGGGAGGGTGATGATGAGCGATTGGGTCCATGGTTTGGGCCATTCTCCTGTTAGCCATATTTTGTTAAAAATATTGAATAGGGCACTTATCATTGCTTCTCCTCCTTGTTTCATCAACTCGGCAGGGATAATATCCACTCCTGCGGCCTTTCCTGTTTGGAGTGCCTGGACTCCTGCTTCTACTTCTGCGTGGAGAATAGGGTAGTTATCATTGTCTGTTGCTGGAGGGACATTAAGGATCTCTGGGTCTATCTTTATACTTTCATTATAAAGCTCTGAACAGTATTCAGTCCATCGTTTGATTGATATTCACATTTACCATTTTTATCCTGTATGGTAGTACTACTCCCTTGTTTTGCAGTGGTTAGTTCTTTTGCCATCTGGTAAGCTTTTTTGCTATTGTTTTTCTTCAAGCAGTTTTCAATATCGTAGCATTGCTCTTCAAGCCAGTTCTTCTTTGCCCTTTTCATACTTTTTTTGATGGCTTGATTAACTGTCCTATATTTAATGGCTCCCTCTGTAATTACCATTTTTGTTTTCTTTAACTGCCTCCGTTTATCACACAGATCAAGTATGTCAGCTGTCATCCATGGTTTTCGGGTTGATCGATGTTTACCGAGGATGTCGTGAGCTGTGTCCATCACAGCTGTGTTGAAGTTATCAATCAATGTGTCCATGTCTGAACAGTCGGCATCTATGATGTTAAGCGCTGCAAATTTTCCTCCTATTATTACTTGGAAGGCTTCTGCTACTTTAGGTTCCTTCAGCTTTTCAAGGTCAAATTTGATTCTGGTATTTCCTTTTTTGTTTACCCTCTTTAAGTGCAGTCTAAAGGTCATCATGACTAGGTCGTGGTCGCTCCCGATGTCAGCTCCAGGGAAGCTGCGAGGCTTGGCAATGTTTATACTAGACCGGAAGCATGTTTGCAACATGATGTAGTCAATCTGGTTGTGGTGTTTCCCATTGGGGCTGTACCATGTGGTTTTCCTGGACATTTTATGTTCACCCAATGTGTTAGCCAGAATGAGTTCGTTGAAGCTGGCGAATTCCAAAAGCCTCAGACCAGTGGCGTCTGCACATTCCTTTCTAGTTTTCATAGGCATTTTCTCCTACCTTGGCATTTCCATCACCTTGAACAACAAGAACGTCCTTCTTGGGTGTTTGGTTAGCACATCCTGTAGCTGATGGCAGAAGTCGTCCACTTCCTCATCAGTATAATCTGTAGTTGGAGCATACGCCTGCACGATGGTGATGTTGAACGGTGTTGCCCTTAGATGAAGAGTGATGAGCCGGCTCGAAACCGGTCGACAGCTCATACTTTTCTTAATGTTTTTGTGGACGAGGAAGCCAACTTTTCATGTCATCTACAAGAAATTCTTCTAATCTATTTTTTTTTTCCTCCTGTCAACTTTCTAATTTTTCCATTCATTTATATTTATATTTTAATAAATCTTGAATAAATTAATTTCTATTTGATGCAATTAAAGCAGTTATTCTAAGACAATTTTCTTAAAATTCAAGAAATGATTGACATCAAAGGGAAATAACTTAGAATAGCTCGTATGTAATGGTGCAATACTTTAATTAAGCCAAAAAAAACAAAGAAGAAAAAAGTACTCTGATTAAGCCTGCAGTCCAAAAGCTAGGGCTTGAGCTCAATTTTTTTTTCGTCCAAGGATCTAGCATACAAATATTCATCTCCAGAGTTTTTATTTTGTGCAGTAATGTTATCCCTGTAGTTTTATGATTAATGATGTATATACAATTAAGAGAGCTTTAGAATGGGTTAAAAATGTAATTTATTCCATCCGCACATTTGTCTTCATTCAGAACAGTTTGGCGGATGTGAAAATCATGCCTCATCAGTCTGAACGTGGGATGATCACTGAACTCAATACCCGACCCTACTGGTGCATTTCAAGACAGAGGACTTGGGGTGTCCCTATGCCTGTGTTTTACAACAATGCGACAGATGAGCCACTTGTGACCAGGTAAAAAACATCTCTCTTTCTCTCTCTCTATGTAATGTATATATATACACACACACACACACACATATATATATATATATATATATAGATAGATAGATAGATAGATAGATAGATAGATAGATAGATAGATAGATAGATAGATAGATAGATAGATAGATAGATGTATATATAGATATAGATATATAGGGATGTTAAAATCATTAAATATGTTTTCTTAATGTTAATTTTAGGATTTTTAAATTAAACTTTTCTTATTCATATTTTTATGAAGTTAAAAAATTTACCATGCATTAATGCTCCTAAAAATATCTCCTCAGTGAAACTGTTGAACATTTGAGAGAATTATTTCTGAAGCAAGGTTCTGACTGTTGGTGGAACTTATCAGTAGAGGAATTATTACCGAATACTCTCTTGGCTAAAGTAGGTTATTATGAAGACTGGTTAGCTATTATAAATCATTAGTACTAGATTAATTCATAAATGTTATTTAGTGTTAAATATAAAAATATTATTTTTTATCAACTCAAAATCGCCCAAAATATGAAATTTTATATTTCAATTTAAGTTTATTATAAGTAAAAAGTGGGGCAATGTTAGAGTTGAAAACAATGAAGGATAATTTTTAGGGCACAACAGAAAATAAAGTTACCAGTGAATATAAAAAAAGCCAAAGAAAGAAAAGTTACATATTTTTTAATGTTTAAAACAGTACATAATAATATTTAGACATTTTTTTTTTTTTTTCCATTTATTGTGCATCAGCAAGTGCTGCCTTGCAGTTTCGCCTTTATAATTTCTTCCAGATAAACAAAGGAGAAAGCAGCAACTATAAGAAAGGATCAGATATCCTGGACATCTGGTTTGACAGTGGTGTGTCATGGGCGTCTGTCTTACAAGGTAGATTCAACTTGATTTTAGTGCCTTTATTACAACAAAAAAAAAACTGATCAAGTTAGTGGGATCCAACATATAGTTGAAAATTGATAATGATTATCACAAGACCCTAAAATTGAGGAGTATATCTCAGTTCAATGATCTATTTTTTCAATGCTTGGAAATTAAGTAACATCATCAATTAGAAATAACAGAATCTCTTTAAGTTAGTTTTTTTTCTACTTGAATTAACTATAAAAATAGAACTTTTGACAAGGAAAGGAAATATTTATTTTTATGCTCCCCTCTATTCTTAAAATAAATTCTGAAACCATTAAGGCTCTTTATAATTTCATAAACTTATAATTGTGTGTTTAGTTTCACATGCAAAGTTAATAAGGTGTTGACAAAAAGCTACCGATTTTTCAGACTACAATGGCCAAGCTGATGTGTACATGGAAGGTATTGACCAATACAAAGGTTGGTTTCAAACTTCATTGTTGACAAGTGTGGCAGTCAATGGAAAAGCTCCTTACAAGTAAGTCTAATTCTTTGGCTTAACTTTTACTTAGGCTTTATAAATTTTGAATACTTGGAAATTGCTTATTTTAAAACAAAAATTACAAAAAGGTGCATCATTGTTATTTCATTTTCTTTGTAGATTGCTATTATATTTTTTGTTTGCTATAGCAAATTGTTAAAGGAAGTAATTAAATAGTTCAATCAAACCAGGCAAATAATTACACATGGGTTTGCAACAGATGAACAAGGAAAGAAAATGTCCAAGTCTGTTGGGAACGTTGTTGACCCAGAAGAGGTGATCAATGGAGGAAAAGTGAGTTTTATTTGTCATAGTAAGAGACTCGGTGGAAATGTTTCAGTTTCAGATGTTTCATTAACAAAGTAAAACTCAATACAATTTTTATAAAGAAACTGACATGTCTATTTTCTTTGTAATCTTGCAAAAAATTAATTTTTTGGATTTTGTTTGAATTTTTAATTATAAAAAAAATCTGAAACAATTTTCAAACTGTATAATTTATTCAGCTAAATTTGTTACTTTTTTAAAATAAATTTCTTAAACTATTGATTTCTGTGATTGAAATTTATTAAAGTTAATTTAATACTAATAATTACATTATAGGAAAGATAAAATAATGCATCCATTCATTTTTTCCTTTTAAGCACTTGATCAAGGCATATGTAATCATATAAGACAAATCTAGTCATATTCTAATTATTATTATTATTATTAAATATATATATATATATATATACATATATATATATATAGCTATATATATATATATATACGGTATCTATATATCTATACACACACACACATGCTATTAGTGTCTTTTATAAAAATCTAAATTACCATTATTAATCTAATTTTCTTATAGGACAAGAAAATTTCCCCATCCTATGGTGTTGATGTGTTACGATGGTGGGTGGCTCACAGTCACCAGCACCAGCATATAATGGTGGGACCATCTATGCTACAGAAGTTTCAAGAAGATGTTTTTAAGGCATGTACTCTTGAACTGCTACACTAAATGTGATAACCTCATTAACCACTTTCAAGGCATGATGTAAACAAGTTTTTTTTATCGTACTTGAGAGTCTATAAACAACCTTATAATTAGAAGTCTGTTATTTCTGATGAGTTATAAGCTTTGACCACAAATAAGGTGCAGCCTCTAGCAAGAGAAGTTTCCTTATGTAATAGTGTTTTGCCTTGTTACAAATATATCAGTTAATTAAGGAAAACTTAACCATGCCATAGCTAAATATAGTTATAAGCTCTTATTTCCCTTGAAAGCCATTTATAATTGCTTATTGGATCCATGGTCTTGTCCTTTTAGTAAAATAATACAAATTCTTTTTGCTAGAGTTCTAATATAATAAAACTGATATCAACAATTTTATGGACCAGTGGGTCCAATGAAGTTATAATTATAATATGCAATAATGAACAAAAATTTGTTTCTCCAGATAAGAAAATGCATGCGTCATCTTTTGGGCAACTTGCATGATTTCAACCCCAAGACAGATTTGGTGCCGTATTCTAAGCTTGGAGCTGTGGATAAATATTTTCTCTACACACTCTTCTCTGTAGTTAACCAGGTACATTTGTTACATTACATACTGATTGTATAGTGGCTTCTAAGTGATGAAATTAGGAATCTACTGTGATGTAAGAACGTGGTGTAAGAACAAGGCTCAATCTCATAGTCTTTGAGACTAAATGGGGTTAGTATGCCTAAAACAAGTGATGGCAATTGCATTGGAGGAATGCCTAGCCATGAATAAAACCTGTGCTGGAAACAGGCAAAACTTTGATGTTTCAGCTTATTGCTGTTTTTTTTTTTTTTTTTTTTAAACTCTTGGATTTATTTTTTATATTCTAGATGGAGGAGAGCTATGAAACATTCAGTTACCATAAAGTGATTCAGTTGCTAGAGAAGTTTTTTTTTTTTTTTTTTTTTTTTTTTTTTTTTTTTTTTTTTTTTTTTAAACTCTTGGATTTATTTTTTATATTCTAGATGGAGGAGAGCTATGAAACATTCAGTTACCATAAAGTGATTCAGTTGCTAGAGAAGTTTTTCTATTCTGATCTGTCCAGCTTTTATATCAGCAACACACATGACAGGTAAAGAGGAGATATTTATTTGATTGATTTATCACTGAGAAAATTTTTCGGTAATATAGTCCTTGATTTTTTTGGTAAACCTCCTGCTAAATATATAGGCCACATTTAACTGTCAATCAGATGTATTTTTATCTTTATAATATCGAGAAGACTTATATTATTTAATTATGTGCATATTTCATTGTTGTCATTGATCAAGCCCAGCATGTAAAAGTTTGACCATTGTTTCCAGGTGTTACTGTAGCGGAACAAATGATGTAGCCCGGAGATCAAGCCAAACTGTTCAGTACTTTGTGATCCAGGCTATTACCCCAGCATTTTCACCTATCATACCTCACTTGGCAGAAGAGATTTATAAGCATATGCCAGGATATCAACCAGACAATCCTGGTAGATTGTTTTTTTTTAGTATTTGGTAAAATTAAAATGATAAATCTTGGTAGTAAGTATTGATTATTTGTCAAATCAATTTCAAAACTGGTTAGCATAAAGTGCAGTTTCAACCAAAGGTCTCTGCAGATCAGTTTGAAATACTTTGCTTTAACACATGTAAAGAAAAAAAAGTACCATATTTTTGTGCATATAAGACGCACCTAATTATAAGATGCACCCGTACATAAGACGCGAGTTTTGACGATTTGTGTAAAAAATATTTTGCATCAGACGCACCCATATATAAGACACGGGTTTTTACAATTTGTGAAAACAAAAGTTACATAAGATGCACGCGGCCTAGCCATCTGCGGCACTGAGCAAATTTATATCCAGTGGTTTCCTTCCCTGTATCATAAATGAAATGAAAATTTGTCCAATGTTTCATCACCCGTTGGATGAAAATAATGCTACATTACCATTTTTAGTTTACAGGACCGCAATGATTTTTGTTTATTCTTATCTGCCGTGGGGGCGATAGCAGATGGGTTGAGTACATGGTATCTAGATTCTAGAAACAATAAACGCCATATGTAAAGTCTTCAGCGAGTGTTATTAGTACCATACATAGACCAATAAATTGACGATTTGTGTAAAAATTATTACACCCTGGTAGCGGGGCATGTAAAACTTTGTATAAGACGTGTCTTATATATGCGAAAATATGGTATATCGATTTTAGGAAGAGATTTACCAATGAAAGTCGAAAACAATTATGGAATTTAGCTAAAACAGTTTTAACTGTAACTTCTTTCACTGCCACTCATTTATGTTCTTTTTCCCCAGCTGTTGATAGTATTTTCAAATTGGGATGGAGTCATCCAGATCCAGAATGGAATGATCCTAGTGCCGTAAATAAATTGTTGCCAGTGTTTGATATCAGACGTGCCCTCATGGACAAAGTGGCCCCAGAGAGTCCAGTAGAATTTGATATACACATATACAGCAGTCCACGGCTTCATGATTTACTTAGAGTGAGTTAGTTTATCTTTCTTCTTAGTGCCCCCCCCCCCCAAAAAAAAACAACAAAAAACACACACACCATACAACTAAATGTTGTGTAACACCACTGGTGATTCAGGTTTTTCTTAAAATCTGAACTTAGTATTGAGATGGTCCTGGACAAATTTTGGGAATAGTGTATGATATGCAAAAATGGTTCTTATAATTTTGTGCATAATATTATCAAAACCATACACGGTAACCAAATTAAGAACCATTTCTATCGAAATTATCCTTTTTTTTTTTCTAAAAAAATTATAATATTAAAGTTGTTGAGAAAAATTCACTCTCCGTTTAAATCTCTTATACATATTTTTCCTCTGGTGTGGCTGCTTCCTTTTCACAAGCGGCCTTCCCCCTACTCAAATGTTTTATATTAATGGTACCTAGTTACAACAAAAAAAAAAAAAAGCTATCAAGCTGCAACCGTCACTTACATATTTTTCCTTTGGTGTGGCTGCTTCCTTTTCACAAGCGGCCTTCCCCCTACTCAAATGTTTTATATTAATGGTACCTAGTTAAAAAAAAAAAAAAAAAAAGCTATCAAGCTGCAACCGTCACGCGTGACAGTTGTATTCCGTAAAAAGGTTGAATTTTTTCAGATGCGACTATTGTATAAATAAATAAAAAGCCCCGGGGATGGTGTAGGAATCTGTGGGACTGTCTGTAGGCCTATTTTTTAAAAGCTGGTAGTTAGGGTGTATAACTGTCTGTAGGGTGTAGGACTGTCTGTAGGCCTATTATTTAAAAACTGGTTGTTAGGGTGTAGGACTGTCTGTAGGGTGTAGGACTGTCTGTAGGCCTATTATTTAAAAGCTGGTAGTTAGGGTGTAGGACTGTCTGTAGCCCTATTGTTTAAAAGCTGGCAGGTAGGGTGTAGGACTGTCTGTAGGGTGTAGGACTGTCTGTAGGCCTATTATTTAAAAGCTGGTAGTTAGGGTGTAGGACTGTCTGTAGACCTATTGTTTAAAGGCCGTCAGGTAGGGTGTAGGACTGTCTGTAGGACATTTCTCAAAATAAACGGACCTGTTGTAAAAAAAAAAAAAACTGCACCCGGTTAAGCACTAGTATTTAATATTTTTTATAATTATATTCAAAGTTTAAAAAAAAAATCAGTTGTAAACTATTTCCAATTCCCCTGTTTGACAGGAGCTGCAGCCAGAGGTTACTTCATGTACATCTTCCCTGTGTGAGATCTTCCAAACCTCCCAGGTGTCCGTCCTGGACACTCCTCCTGCCATCATCCCTGATGACAGTTTTATCCTTGAAGGCAGCACTCTTGTCTTGGCCAATGGTATGATAGTCCATGGAGTGACAGTTGCAATCATTTACTCTGCTACAAGCAAAATAATAAAATACCCCACTCAGCCTTAATATTATGTTTCCAAAAGATAACAAGTGTCTTCTAATAATTAAAAAATAAAAACAAATTCAATAAAAACTCAACCGTAATGTCTCTCTTCAGAATCATCACCAGATACAGATGTAGATTACAAGATACTTGTGACCTCTGCTTCACTAAACATCTGTGAGAGATGTCGCAGATATACAGCAAAGTCAGCCAGTTCTCCATGTGATAGATGTATTAATGCAATAGCTCATGACTGGGCTACATGATCAGTTATCTTCAGCTTATACAATCTATTTTTAACAAATAATTAATGGTTTTTGTCAGTGTTTCTTTAAATATATTACTGTATACATTTTTTGTTTTGTAAGATAACATTTGCATTGTTACCTTTGATTTCCTAAATTTACTTTAACCAAATGTAATACTGGTACACAATAAGTTGAGGTAAATTACAATTTCAAGGATTTCATCCACGGCCCGCCGTGAAAAAAGTTTGGAGACCCCTGCCTTAAAGCAAAAGGTGGTACAAAATATTATAATGAAACTTGAGTAGATTTAATGTACTGTTCCTGATACATGCAATCCTCCTTCCCAAATTATCTACTGTTCTTGCATAGTATATAAATGAAGATGACAAGAATAATTACAATATGTACTGTGTTTATTTGTATAATTAAAATGTTGCACACATCTCAAAATAAATGTTTGTCATTCACCATTCAAAAGATTTATTCTATTTTGAGGGCATACATCAGTCGTTCTCAACCTTTCTACCCTTTAATATAGTTCCCAATGGTGTGGCGACCCCCAACCACAAAATTATTTTCATTATACTATACAACTGTATAGTATATGTGTTTTCAGATGGTCTTAGGCGACCCCTGTGAAAAGGTCGTGCGACCCCGAAAGGGGTCACGACCCACAGGTTGAGAACCGCTGGCATACATTATATAATGAATGTTTTTTTAAGACTTTTCCTTCTAGCACTTATGATAACTTCAGCTGCTTAAATGTTTAGTCTACCAAGGGATAGTGGATGGATGGATTGAATGATCCACTGATACAAGTGATAGGAGCCAGAATGATCAATTCATTGATCGTGGGCCCTTAAAATAAAGAAGAAGAAGTTTTCAATTTAAAACATTTATTTCATATCTATTTTATTCCTGCCTGATAATCAAGTGCCATCAATTGATACAAATCTTTCTAATACAATTTAAAATTATTTTTTTTTTTAAAGATCATTACCAAAATGGATTAGAAAAGTGAATATTGGGCAAGACCATCAACAACATCTGATAAACTTTTGACATTTCATTCAGTTGTGTATGGTCTGCTGGTTTTAAAAATTAATTTTATTTATTTATCAGTTGTTAATTTGTGTCCTCCTGTAAAACACAAAAACTAGATTCAGCAAGGGAGCAACGGGCCTTAAAGATAAGTAAATTAAACTGCAACTAAATTTTGGAGTTTTAAAAAATAACAATTGCAAGATTAATAAGAAATACAGTTACATTTCTTTAATTCAGTTGTCAACTCATCTGTTTCTGTTACTTAAAATTTAAGTTTATTTTTTTTCCCCAGCCAACAAAAACTATATAAAAAATTTATTATTGCTGTACAAACTGGCATTCACACAGGTCATAAATTTATCACAGGAAATAAAAAAACTTGACCAACATCAAGACAGAAAAATGTATATTTGAAAGTGAACATGAGTTGATAAGGAATAAATTACCTCAAACAAATCACTCTTATTTCAATAAAATGTATGCACATTTAATTGTCCTCAATTAAAAGTGGAGAACTATTTCATATAGCAAGAAATTTTGGTTAATTCAAAAGTTTTTTTTCTCTTTCAGTTAAATTTTAAAAATGTTAATCATTTTATCCACCAATACATAGAGATGATAAAAAAAATAAGCTTTCTTGAGTTGCTCTAAAAAATATAATTAAAATTAAATTCCATTTTGTTAGAGCAAACGTGAAGAAACAGCTTTTGAATCAGCTTATCAATAATATTTATAAGACTACACTCTCTACTCTAGTGCAATCAAGTACTTGGTACCTTATTCCTGCAAGCTAACAGGAAGCTTCTTTGTCCCACTTGTGTCTTGGTATGAACACTTCAAACCACATTGACAGCTAAAAATCTATAATGGAAGGCCAGTGAGTTGCAGTGTGTCAAGACTTTGATACAGACGAAGCCAGGACCTTAGTTTTCTCCAGCAGTTCCTGGGCCAGTTCATGGAGTTTGGTTGTCTCTGTGAAACGGGAGGCTGCTTGCTCCAGTAAACTTATGGTCCAAGAGAGTGGGACTTGAGGATAGAAGAGATCTTCAGGTTTCTTTAGTTGGGAAAAAAATAGTTTAAGTCAACAATATATACAGTCAATGCAACTGTATAAAAAAAAAAATCAAGTTAATTGATTGAAACAGTTGTAGTCTTATTACACAGATTTAACCAATATGTTCATAGTGATAATTAATACTAATCATACCTTTTTTATTTTTGAGTTATGGAGTTTTTGAAAATATTGAAAAAAAAACCCAAAGAAAATGTTTTTTAAACTCATATGTAACCATTTAGTTTTAAGGTTTAGCACACAAGTGCAAGGTCTGGGTGTTAAATTTTTTTTTTACTGCTGTAGGGTGGGTTAAACAATTCTATTCCACATCGATCAAATAAAATCTGTATGCCATTCATTTATAGATCCTGGGTTCCCCACAGCAATATGGGAAAGGAAACCTACCAGTATCAGTGACTGCAGCCAACGAGTCAGGGTGACAGACATGCCAGCCAAATGCTGAAAATTGGCATCAATATCCCGTTTGAAGATCTCATGTGCTACCCTTTGACCGGCAAGGGTTAACAGCTGAATGGCCATTTCCTCGTTATCATTGACGGACAACAACATCTGAGGACCAGAATTTTACTTGATAAAATCAACATTATACTAGAGGTTAATCTTATGTTACAGATTAAACCTTTGCGGAAAAAGAATAATAATAAAAATATATTTTGACATCAAACAAATTCAAACATTTCCACCGTCTCTCATTTAATTAGATAATCATTTTTTAAACGGTCACATAAATAAAATTCAAAAGGTAATGTCTTGGAGAAAAAGAATATCATTTGAAGGTTACAAAAATGCATTATGTCTGTACTATCCACTATCAGATTTGATGTTCAATTATACTTGGTTGCCTGACATTAATGTTTTAATTTATTAACTTCAGACAATTCTCTAATGAAGAGTTTTATCTTTTTTGATTCACTTCATATAGAAAGGATAATGATTTTTAAAAAAAAATGTTTCATTTAAATTAAAACTATTATTTTTTAAATTCAAAATTAACTAGTAGTATTACACATGATTACCTCTTCAGCAAGTTTATCATGTCCATAGGAGTACAGCTCACAAACATGATGTCTTTTAAAAAAGTCCAAGTCGAGACCAAAGTCCTTAGCTATTGACAACACCACCTAAACAAATTATTTGACAACAAAGTATTAAAAAAAACCCCAACAACATCATTTTCCAAATGACATATTTTTTAAAATGTATGAAGCCATTAAAATTTATGACCATTATAGACCACAAAAAAATGTATTGGGGGAACTTTTTTTTTGCTAAAAAAAGTATTTTTTAAAAAAACCAGTAATTTCTCATATGCCATAAATATATCTAAATATTAAGATTTTGTTTGCTTAAAAGCAACTTAGGGTTAAGAGTTTGAGCGAGATGGAGCCTAAAATTCGCTTAACTTTTAAATATCAGAACAAATAAATCTCACCTGTGGCCATTTATAAGCCATTGGATAAAGAGCTCTGTGCTTCCTGAACACAGGACTCGTTCCACTGATGTCAGGACTAGTTGCAGGTGGATCTATTGTTGCTACGGCACTTGTAATCACTCGACACAAGAACTATAATATATTAAAGAAATAACTTGACAACAAAAATACATGACTTAACATTGACAGCAACAAGGTGTTGGAAAGCATATAAAATGTAATGAAACAAAATGATGCAGATTAAATAATTATGTACTGGCACTGGGAAAGAATATTGCAATACCAAACATCTCGCCATCTCAGTTACTGTAAAGTAAATTAAAAATTCAACAATCGCTCACTCTAAAAAAGTCATTGTTAATTATGTTGTATCTTCAACTTTAACATTCAATTATAATTATTATTATAAAAAAACAAGATGTTAATAATTGCTTACATTTTTTCGGGCAAGAATCAATTCCTGATCAACCTTTTGACTAGGTAATAATGGATGTGAATGTAGGTCTTTAAACACTGCAGCTCGGCCCTGGGGAATATTTACAATGTTCAGTTGCAAAGAGAGATATTGTCAGGCTAACTGGAAAAGCTGTTAATATTTTAAAATATTCTATTTGTACTATTTCTTTTTAATGAATATAGTAATGAATATAGTATACCTATCAACGCTATTAAAATTTAGTTGCACCTGGTAAAGTAATAAATCTATACAAATATAATATGATGACTTCAAGCACAAAGCATGGAAAAGTTGGTCATCTCTATTGATGTATTTTTAAAGTCTTTTAAGAAATAATATTTTTGATTATTAATAGTTAATATTTGATTTTATTATATCTTTAGAAAATTCCATTAAATAAATACAATTTTAATACAATAAATTCATTGAAGAAACATCCTTTTAAACTGCTAATTAGATGAAACAGATTAAGCTGAATAAGGCTAACCAAAACAAAACCACAAAAATTAATATTGTTAGATGATTCAAAGTAAGTCTAATTTGAAAAGAAAAATAATACAAAAAATTAGACTGACCTTATTGTCAAAAAGGGAGAGAACTTTGACTGACTTCAGTTTTAATGTGAGAATGGCAGACATAAACTTAAGCAGATGAAAGTGGACTTTCAAGAGGCCATAGTTGGTGGTCTTTTGGTCCACTGCTAATTCCATCAAGGATGTGGGACCCTGACTTCTCTGCCAAGCATGCTCAGTGTTACACACAGGGACTTCACTGGCTTCACAGTTGGCCTAAAGAAGAAACATAATATTAATTTGATGTTTAAATAATGTGATATTTAGAGTATTGACAGTGTCAAGTCTAAAAACGGGTAGAACATGTCAGTCATTAAATTACTTTTTTTTTACATGTTACTTCCTCTTAGGTTTGGTTTCAGTTTTGATGAGCCCTATAATGCATTTTTAATTCAGTTATCACATATTCAATAGGGATCCATGACAGTAAAACTTGCCTGTAGCCACCCATAAATTTAATCACTTAATATATCAAACAGCTTATGCTGATTAAGTCAAAATCTTAAATGTTCTTTAAAATTTTTAAAATATTAGTATTACCCTCAAGATCTTGGACATTTTAACTATATTAAACTATTTTAACTATATAAATATATATTATTTTTTACACCTGTTCATTTATGAAAAACTATATTTCAATATTTAGCGCTATATTAAAAAAATTTTTTATCAACAAAATAATTTTTTGAAGAAAATCAATGAGAACACCATATTTTTGTATTAAAGTCTGATGTTGATATATTTTATTGATTTTTCAAATCGTTTTATGGCCAAATATTATATTGTAATGTTTATTTTTAAGATTCTTTTTACTGGAAGCCATTGTTTTTTTACTATTTAGCGGTTGTCAAAAGAGCATTCATATAATATACATCCATAAGAAATAAATATTGCAAGGAGGTTGAGGTTGTCAATATGTCTATATTTGAATCTGATTTTTAAAAAAACTAGGATTCATGAAACAAGCTCAATTGTAATACTGAGCTGTTAATAATTTCACACTGGACCATTTGAGTACAAGATGAATAACTCTTATTTTGAAGTTAACAGATGATTATTGTACTTTCATTAAAAGTTAATAGTGGTAACATTTTTTAATATTATTTTCTATTGGTAAGAAAAGAAATGTTTAAAATAAAGAATAAAAGGCTTTAAATGTCATTAGTTTTATCTACTTCATTTCATTATTTAGCTAATCTATTTTTTATGGGAGATGGGAGAGAAAAATTTTTTGGATGCCGCTGCTCTAGTTCTAGGAACTTGATTATCCCAAGATCTTTGTGTCAACTACCTTTATATTATTTAGTGTTTTTTTTTAATTTCCAAAATCAATGTAGTAAGACCTATAAATATAATAGATAAATGTATTGACATTCCTAAAGGTTTTTTGATTTGAAACGAATCCCTTGTTACAAGTTGTTCGAAAGATTTGGCTGTAAATATACATTGATGAATTCAAAACTAGAATTAGCGACCTGTAAATTTGGTAAGAATGCAAAGCTCATAAATGTGTTGAGATTTTGTCTCCAGGCAGTTATATCATTAGTTGGTTTACTAGGGATAAGCAGTGTAAAATGAAGGAAACCAATAGCAAGTGACTAAACTCTCAACTGGCCTTAAAATTTGTTCAGAACAACTATAAAAAATCAACTCTCTTATAGTTTAATTCAGTTGATAATATATTTTTAATTAAATTAATTCTATCCCTAGATTTCCTGTAGTTAATTTATCACTGTGTTTCTCAACATAGATTTGATGAGGACAGATAAAATACCAGCACTGGGATTTCAATGAAATGTGCTTAAAATAATAACTGTTTCTAAAATGATGATAAACAATAAGCAGTAAATATTCCTTTCTTTGTTCAGAAATCTGTGTGAAGGTGCAAGTTTAAAATTTCTCCCCAGACTGTTTCACACACAACAACCATAATTAAATATTCACTTGACATAAATTTCAACTCTTTGCCTTTAAAGCTGCACTTTCTCCAACCACACACAGGGCTGTGATTTTGGCATTGAACTTACATCCATAATTATTTCCATGAAGTCGGCACATAATGAGATGAAGGTAACCAAACTGACATCACTGACTCCAACTTCCTGGTGGACATACGAAAATCATGAATCCATGAAATCACCTAACAAAGCCAAGCATGACTTAAAATAAATTATATTTTTCTTCACTGGCAGCTGTTTAAACAAAATTTAGGTACCTAATTTTAAATACCATATTTTCGCGTATATAAGACGAGTCTCATACAAAGTTTTATGTACCCCGCACCCAGGGTGCGTCTTATATATGGGTCCATCTTATGTAAAATATTTTTTGCATGGATCGTCAATTTATTGGTCTTTGTACGGTACTAATCCCTCTCGCTGAAGACTTGGCCTGGTAGATCAATGAAGCCGCCTTTACATCTGGCGTTTATTGTTTCTAGAACTTAGATATCAGAAACTCTACCCATCCACTATTGGCCCGGCGGCAGATAAGCATAAACAATAATCATTGCCGTCCTGCCTCAGATAATTCTTTGATCTACCGGTAATCTAAAAATGGTAATGAAGCCTTGTTTACATCTGAAGAATGATGAAACATGGGACAAATTTTCATTTACAATAAAGGAAAGTAAAACCCTGGATATAAATTGCTCAGTGCAGTGGATGGCTAGGCTGTGTGCGTCTCATGTAATTTTTGTTTCCACAAATCGTCAAAACCCGTGTCTTATAAATGGGTGCGTCTTAATAAAATATTTTTTACACAAATCGTCAAAACCCGCGTATTATATAAGGGTGCGTCTTATAATTAGGTCGTATTATATGTGCAAAAATACGGTACTTTGAACTCATATGAGTTTAAATCTTATGAGTGCTTGAACATTAATTTATAGTTTCAAAAATGTGACAGAGCTGTATTACTGTAAGGCTTAATTAGTTAAGATCTTGTATTTTTGTACACACAACTAACCTTCCTACACAACCTGTCTTTAGGGGACTTTCCAACCTGCAAGTAATACAGAAACATTTATGTGAGACAGGCTTAAAATTTATATTCTAAGAGGACACACATTTCAGGTGTTGAAAAATCCCAATTTTTTTTAGTTTAAAATTCCAGCTCTTCTCTTTTTACTACTGCACACTCTTTGCAGTTTTTATCTATTAAAAAGGTTATAAAATTTACAGGAGTTGTAATACGCAGCTATTTTAGAACAAACCTTGTCCATTAAGTGGGCCGCAGCCGATGCCCTCTTCAGTATAAACATGTGCCACAGCAGACTGGACACACCTTCAAGTAAAAAAAATGTAGAGAGTCAAAGCAAGTTGAAGTAGTCTACATCAAGTAGAGAAAGAAATGTAAATGTTTTTAATATCCATCATATCTTTATTTTGGGTATGCTTAGGCTTACAATGCATTAAACAAAAGGTTATACAATAAATATTAGCTGTATGATTTTATGTATTTTGAATGTAAAAGTTGTAAGAAGAGGTATACATTACATATTAATTACCTTGCCGCAAGACTGCATTCTGAACCAACCTGAGAAATTCAAGCGAGAGGTCCAAGTTTTGTGTTATCTAAAACAAATTTAAAAAAAAAAAATATTGAAAATGTAATTTTTTAAATTTGTATAATTTTCTAGTGCAGAATTTTAAAACTGTTTTATATTATTAATTTATTTCCTATGCAAAGTGGAGCCATGTGGAATTCAATGAGATGATGGGATCCAAGAGGGATACAACAAAATATTTGGAAACTTGAGAAATGTGGTAAGAGAGGTATGTGATGCTGGCAATCAGTAGCCATCTAGTAGCTTCAGGGTGTTGGGACCACCGGTCACCTACTTCAGGGTCTTTGTTCCACACCACAGCATATTCCCAGCAGCAGTTGGCCAGCAAGGTGTCGTTGTGCAGGCTGTGGGGAAACCTTCTCCGCAGCTCCTCTAGTTGATCTGTTGATTAAAAAAACAATATTCCTTCATTTCATTTGAGGAAACAGTGCCTCTTTTTCAATTTATTTTTACCATAAGTAACTCAAAAGCCAGCACTCCAACCCTTTAACCATGAACTTTTTAGTGTTAAATTATATATTTAAATTTTATAAAATTTTAGACAAATCTAATACTGGACTGTATATTCTAATTACCGATATATTAAAAGCCCAGTATGTCATCATCTACAAGCTGCTAGTATGCATCATCAGATACTTAACAAAGATGTCCTGAGTGTACTGCTATGCTATATCCTGTAAATGATACATACTGTACCTAAAACTAGAGTAAAGTCTGCTTACATTTGACCTTGTCTCCAACACTAAAATCTTTCATGCTGTCATCAACAGGCTGAACTATCTCTTTTTTTATTGCCACACTCTTGTCTTCGTCAGATTTTTTTCCTTTCTTCTTCTCTTCTTTCACCTCACTCTTCGCCCGCCCCTCTTCCTCTTCCACGGGTTCTTCCTGTACCGTGAAACTAAAGAACAGAGAAGCTGGGTTGAGGTGTTGTTGGACAATGTACCTGGCCACAACCTCTGGTATTGAACCTAAGCAGAAAAAAACAACACATTTTGTATTTACTTTAAGAGTGGCTCTTAGTAGCATACTGGGCAAAACATATTCAACATGTATAGCCTAGGAGATCCAACATGTACAGTTAGGGAGATCAAAGTTAAAAGAAAGGTTTTCAGGCAGCCCTACAACATTGCTTTGAGGGAAAAAAATGCACTTCCTTGTGAGTGAAGTGTTTTTATTGCATATTATAAAATTGTAAATGGAAGATAAAACAAGCTCTAAAACAGTGGTTCTCAATCTTCCTAATGCTGCGACCCTTTCATACAGTTCCTCATGTTGTGGCAACCCCCAGCCACAAAATTATTTTCGTTGTTACTTCATAATTGTAGATAATATGTGTTTTCAGATGGTCCTAGGATACCCCTGGGAAAGGTTCGTGCAACCCCCAAAGGGGTCGCCACCCACAGGTTGAGAACCGCTGCTCTAAAAGATGAAAATGCTCTTAAAGATATATTTACTTCCCAAACTTCTACTGTCTAGGATATGAGAAAGTTTGTAAACATCAACTCGAAAAAGATAAAACGGAACAGGAAAAATTCCTGTTAAAAAGTTTATCGTGAAACAAAAATAATTTTTCTCAAGTAATATGAAATATTTCAAGAACGTACCTTTTCCACTATTTAGCAGCTTTGAGACTGAAACATTGATTGGCTGAAATGTGTTGCTGCCTTCACTGCCATTGGCTGGAATGTGCAGCAGAGTAACAATGGCCATGACATCCTCAAACTGACGAGACAGCAGCTCCCATAGTTCCATATCAACCGTGAGGGACTCCCAGTCTTGACTGTCCAGGCTCAGGTCACCGTGGTCGGCCTCATCCTGTTGGTCATTATCATCAGACGTTGCACTGCTGGTGTCAGCATCAGGATCCTGATTTATACAGCATCAAGAAAATGTACACCAAGGAGAGTTACAATCAGAAAAATCTGATATATGTTGTTTTTTAAAAATTATAGAGAATGAAATTATTATTATCATGAGATCAACACAGTAGGGTTGTACTAGGCAGAATGTACTTAAAATATTTAACGAATCTTCAAGTTAAATTAAATTTCTTCTCACTGAGTTTTAATCTTGCCTTTGTTCTTTTTTAAAACCAACTTAATCTCCAATGCATGACAAAAAAATTTCTCAACAAAACAACCCTTCAAACCTAATAGTCTGACAGCCCTGATTTTGATATCAATGGAAAATAAAATGAATAAAGAAATGACACTTCAAACAAATATTATGAAGTAATAATAAGTTGCCAGTTGTAGGGAAGAGAGTGCTCACAAAAACACCTAATCACAAAGCCATAGCTAAACATTTAGTTCCACCACCAGAGGACATTTTGATTTTGACTTAAAAGTGAAATTGACGCAAATGAGACAAAAGTAATCTTATATCTCAAAGCTGATTTACTGACACTTGATTCATTGTAAGTACGAGCCACTTCTGAGAGCCCATATATTTGCATGAAGTAGGGAAAAGTTAACATGTAATTGCTCTTCTGTCTGGTTAGTCTATTAATCAGAGGATGCACAAACCTTGACCTTGGAATGGACTCCAAGAGACTCAGCAGCAACAGCCTTGCATGTAAGCACAGCCAGATATGCTGGGGAGCAATTCTCTGATTGGCTACACATGTTCCTAACATGTTGCCACCAGTTGGAGACACTGTTGGGGTCGACATCAATCTCGTTAGCATCTGGAAATTATGTTAATACTTAATATTAAAATATGGAATTCATTAAAACATTAAATACAAATGAATTTCAAAGGTTAAAGAGTGAAAAATAATTGAATGTTAAGTTTTTTTATTTAAGCAGCCTGAAAAGCATAAAAAAGTTTGGAAAGGATTTTATTATTTACATAAAATTAAATAAAACTCTTACTTTAAATTTACAAAATATTGATTGAAATTTAATGATACAATATAATCAATTTAAAAAAAAAGCAACATTGTTCAGGGTAGACAAATCTTTCCCATTAGACTTTCGGTAGCTCGCCTGATGACCAATTACTGTAGATATTTATTTTTTTGTTTACAAATATCATGGACGGAAATTATAGTGTTAAAATCTAACCTGTCTGTGCTGTGATACTCTTGACCAGCTCATACAGGCCAACCATCATGTTCACTGTTCTTCTGTCTGCTGACAACCAGTACAGGATGAGGAGATTCTGAGTTGAAAATCATTACAGAATTTTATTATTTTCACTTTTGATTTTTAAAATAGTTTTTTAACTTGTTCCAAGAATAACTGTTATTACCCCATTATTTACCCTCATTTATGATTTATGTAATACTAATGGAGTAAAAATAAAAAATTGACCAAAAAAAAAAAAAATGACCAAGATCTCATCAGCATAAACTTACCAACAGTTGGTCTGCAGGGAGGCTACTCTGCTGTAAAACCAACATGAGCACTTGGGCTTGACATCTTCCATTTAGGCAGCCAGCAAAGAGGAATTCCCCTTTTAGAAGTAACGCAGATTAAATAAAACAAATTATGATTTATGTAATACTAATGGAGAAAAAATAAAAAATTGACCAAAAAAAAAAAAAATGACCAAGATCTCATCAGCATAAACTTACCAACAGTTGGTCTGCAGGGAGGCTACTCTGCTGTAAAACCAACATGAGCTCTTGGGCTTGACATCTTCCATTTAGGCAGCCAGCAAAGAGGAATTCCCCTTTTAGAAGTAACGCAGATTAAATAAAACAAACAAATAAATACAGCTGTCTTCCAGGTGAATTAATTTGTACATCCCTCAGATCTGTATGTAAACAATTTAAAAACTCTTGCTTTTTAAATTTAACACTTGACCTAGTTTCTTGTCCTTTCAAGATAAATGTTAGAAGAAAACACTTTACCTGTGCCCACTATGGGGAACAATAGATCTGCAAAATGATGTCCATCTTCATTGTTATAGCTTCTTATCCGTTGTCTTAACAGACCTCCTTGCATTTATGTTAATTTGTTAGCAAACACAATTATCATAGCAATATTTACCAAGGGCAAGTCTGCGTTCCTCTGTGGTCTCCTTGCTGATGGTAATTTTTGTTTGTTTGTCTGAGGAGCCCTTCGTGCCATCAGCCTCATTAGAGTATAAAGTTTTGTAAGAGAAGGCATGAAGGAAAGATGTGGCGGCCAGGGAATCAGTGTCTTCTTGGAATTTGACTTTGGAAGATTGTCTGGCTGGAGATGACCCAGAGGTCAAAACATCATAACGGGAGAGGGAGTTGACTACAGCTGAAGCATCGTGTTGGGATAAGTGGAGGATCTCAGTTAAAATCTGAAAAAAATTATAATTATATCGTTTAAACTGAAAACAACGATTTCATAAGAGAATCAGCTGTTCATTTCATGGCATTTATTTTAGTCTGGATTGGGCCGGTAAAGATAAACCAAAAGCTGTAGACTAAATCTGACATACCTGTGAAAACATGGACATTGTCATGCAAGGGTTGGGGATTGCTACACATACATAAACACTTATATGATTCACGTGTGGGTTGTAGGCTTCTAGAAGTATCATGTGATACCCACCTCTGTGTCTGTAATCTTGCACGACTCTGGCTGAGACTTACTGAGTGTCGCTACGGATGAATAAAGGGAGAGGAGCGAGCGCTGTGTCTTGCAAAATGTGAGCATCATTCGACTGTCGAGGTCAAGGCTGTCCTCAGCTGGAATTGCATTTTAAAATACTCAGTGGGTGAAATTTTTTTTTTTTGCTCTAATATCATACTATAAAATGTAAGCAAAGGTTACAAGGGATATTATTATTTCAAATATTTAAAAGCTTTTTCTTTTTTTTTTAAAGTTATAGTATTTACTAAAGCTTTATTAGGGATGTTTCGCCAACATAAAAAAAAAATCCCATCTAAAATAAGCTGATAAAAAATTCAGTAGAACCAGTGAAAGCCTGGGTAAAGTTTGCAATTTGTGTAGAAGATCCAGCAACACTGTAACATACCTCGAGAGGCAAGTTTCTTAATGCAAGCTCTCACTACATTCTGCATCAGTTTAATAGGTAGATATTTGGTGCTCAAAATTCTTTCCACTGCCTGTGGAAAGATGAAAAAAAAAAACCAACAACATTTAATATATTTTTAATGTATTCAAAAAAACTACACCAAGGCTACACTCAAGTAATGAAAATAAAATTTGAATTTCAAACTAATAATGAGTTGTATTTTTTTTATTTTTTCCTTCTAGATTTACAACAGCCGTTTGGTAAATTTAGTATAATTTGTTTATTGCCAAAATGAACCGACACTTCCCAAACATTTCAAAGATGTATTAACAATATAAAAAGAATATAATATATTTTACCTGTTGGGCAATATTGGACACTTTCATGTCAAGGATGATTTCTACGATGGTTGCTTCCAGTCCGTCTGAAAGGTCACAAGCATAATGTTGTTACATGATCTATTTAAACAGCTAAGTGTCAGCAAATGAGCTTTTGGCTAAATGTGATTGCCTATCAGTTGTTCAGAAAATCCCTACATAAATCATTTATCTAATTTCTTGGTCATCACTATTGAATGATCTAGAGCACCAGGCATAAATATTATACGTCATATAAAAAAACAGTGCAAAGAGAAACCGTTTTATTGATACTGGCCTCTATCTTCTGACGATTCCTTGAGAAAAGTTTTCAATTTCTTCAGTAGGTGAAGATCCCTGGCTCTCTTACTGCTCTTGTCACTGTTTATAAAAGCAAACATCTTAACAACAAGTTCATAAATATTTGCTCACACACACCAAAACATTTGGTATTTGGCTGTTTAAAAAAAAAGTTCTGAGGTGTTATTGCAATATTATTATATGACTGTTGTGGAAAGTTAAAATTATTTATCCTTCAGACTAGTCAAATAATGACTTAATTTTGATCAAAACATAGTAGCCTCTAGCCCTATGTATGTTACTTTTTTAAGTAATAATTATTTGGTTGAATAAATACAGAAAAATGTTGAAAGTCATCTTCAGCAAAACAAAAACAACAATAAGGGAATATTTTTGGATAGTGAGTTAAATCACAAAACTAATGAAACAAAACATATTTTTAGTTCTTATTTAATGGCTATGATCTATTTTTTTTTTAAATGCGGGAAAATGGTAAGTTTTCAGCACCTGGATAAGACATTAAAAAAATGCACAGAAATGTGTATGAAGTTTATCCATTGCAATGCACATCTTAAAGTAAAACACTAGTAATGTAACCAATAAACACACCTCAGAGCCAGGTGAAATGGAATATCAACAGTTTTTATGACACCATCGGGGTCAATGAGTGCACACTGGAAAGCCTTGGATTTGACCCCACGACAAGTGACGTTGTTGAGGCCCATCATCCCATAGCATGGACAGAACAACTGGCATGATTTACTGACATTGAATGCTGCAACTCTGGGTCCGTGCGCCACCAGCCACACCTGAGGGAAACCAAGAAATAAAATGTAGGTAAAAAACACAGGGATTCTCAGAACCCAACATTGGCTGCCAACCACACCTGAGTAAAACCAAGAAATAAAATGTAGGTAAAAAACACAGGGATTCTCACAATTCAACATATGCTGCCAGCCACACCTGAGTAAAACCAAGAAATAAAATGTAGGTAAAAAACACAGGGATTCTCACAATTCAACATATGCTGCCAGCCACACCTGAGTAAAACCAAGAAATAAAATGTAGGTAAAAAACACAGGGATTCTCACAAATAAACATTTGCAGCCAGCCCCACCTGAGTAAAACTAAAAAGAATACGTCTGGAAATGCTTATAAGTTAGATTTAAGACTTAAAATGGCGAGTGCTCCTTGTATCTGAGGAATAACATCTACTGGGGCAAGGCAATTAGAGATATTAAGATTAGCAGTAATATACCGCTGACTTATTCCCTTGTTGTTCCTTTGGTTTCAAAAAAGTTAAAGGGGATGCAGTGATCTGGTCTGTCAATGGAAAGCTCAGCGGCTCACCTCTAGAATCCCTCTCCGTGGCGCGTATATGATAAGGAACTGCGCAAGTCTGTAGTGGTCATTATTTTTACTTTGCTCTACGTTCTCCTCCTTGACCTCAACCCAACCCAGCTGGGCCTCTCTGTAGCCTGGTAAAATAATAAACATACAAGTGAGAAAGACTCATATTAGTCACATTAAAATTACATTATTTTGGGCAATGAAATCTGATTATATTTTACTGTTACACTGCACATTAAACATTCCATTTACCCAGATGTAAAATTTAAACAGAAAATGTTATTTATCATAATTAGAATGCCACTATTTAGGATACATTTCTCTGCTTGGAAATAAAAATTGCTTTGCTGGTGCCCACATTAAATTAGTAGCGATTGAAAATAATTTCATAATTATTTATGGATTTGAACTTGGACAAAGACAGCAAAGGATGGTATAATTATTATCTTTTTTTTAAATTTAATATTTATTAATAAAACACCTTTCCACATGCGCACAGCCATTCCCCTCTGCACATCGATAAGAATGACACGACCAAAACTATCTGTGGTGGCTGCGTAATTGTTGCATGGTGACAAGATTATGTTTTCCCCAACTCTGCGCTTGTCCGGTAAGCCAAATCTGGAGAGAGAAAAGCCTGAATTTTAAAATAAAGATAAATTTAATTTGTATATCACTTTTAATTGTTGTATTATTTTTACATCTTTAAGTTGTAGAAAAATGAAAGGGCCATGTGTACACTATTTAAGACAGTATAGTGATGCACTAAGAAATGTCAAAGTTCATTACCTCAGTGGCAGAGGAGTAGCTGGTTCTATTTTGGGAGCCTTTTCTTTTTCTTCTTTGGCTTTCCCACCAAAGCCTAGCCAACCACTGGTAAAAATAGAATTTAATTTTCAATTTAAAATGTAATCATAAAAACATTTGCTAAATACATCGTTACAAGAAACCTGTCATGCATTTAATTATGAATTGTTTTTTATTTATTTGAACATTTGTAAAGTATTTATTTTCCCTTGACCACCTTATAACATTGACCATTGATTGATACCGGTAATTAAAAAATAAATGTGTGTTTTACCTTGCAGCAGAAATGAGTGCAGATTTGATCTTGTTTGCCATGGCTATGGCCACCTCAGACAGCATGGGCTGTGTGATCCCCTAGACAGGCAAGTGACACAATAAGATGATAGCCCATCAGATCATACACCATGATACTTAACATATGAGAAACAATTAGATTGAATGTTTAATTCATAAAACACATAAATTTAACAGAGGCACATATTAATAGTGTTCACCTTACCTCAATGGCATAGAAGAAGCCAACATATGGCGTACTGCCAGCTGTCATGAAGACAGACATGGCAGGTGGTGAGGTCTTCACAGAGGCCCTAAAGCCACCAATCATTGACGCTGCTTTCAGCTGGTCGAAGGGATTGGCACAGGCGATTCCTGACATTTGTTGAAAGTTACATTCATTATTTGTAATTTATTCATGACACCTACTTTACATTAGCTTTTACAATAAATGTTTATTACAGTTAACTTTCCTGTATTTGAATACAGATGTTTTCATATGATGGTGGCTTTTGAGATACAGATGCTCTCATATGATGGTGGCTTTTGAGATACAGATGCTTTCATATGATGGTGGCATTTGAGATACAGAAGCTTTCATATGATGGTGGCTTTTGAGATATAGATGCTTTCTTATGATGGTGGCATTTGAGATACAGATCAAAAATTCAGTTAACACTTTTAGAAAAAAAAAAATTCAAATAATAGAATATGATTGACAATTAATACTTCTTACTACACCAAAATAAAAACATACTGCTGAGAACTGATTATAATCAAATCAATTTACCACAAGCAACATAATCACAGACTTTTTCTTGCTCTCCCAGCGACCATTTTTTATAGGCTAGAGGTGGGGGCTGAAGGAGGTTTTCTGTGCCACTTGCTGTTGCTAGAAGGCAAATAATTGAGTTTATGTCATCCAAGGGTTAATGTGGAGATTACCTAATAATAACAGCACAATTGAAAGATAATAGAGAGAAATATATTGAAAATACAAAGCATGAAGATACTCAAGAAATATAAGGCAAGTTCCCAGATGATTACTTGAGAGGAGAAGGAAGCTAAAACCTTGTTACAATAAATTTTCCCCCATACCCTTAGGACAGCGGTTCTCAACCTGTGGGTCGCAACCCCTTTGAGGGTTGAACGACCCTTTCTCAGGGGTGGCCTAAGACCATCGGAAAATACACATGCCCTACAGTTTTGAAGTAGCAACGAAAATAATTGTGTGGTTGGGGATCACCACAACATGAGGCACTGTATTAAACTAAAGGGCACGTCATTAGAAAGGTTGAGAACCACTGCATTAGGAGGCTCACTGATTTGTTATAGATGTGCAAAGACCCAGCATAATTATAAAGTGAACAGCATTCACCTCTGGCCACTTGATTTTGGCAAGCACGTAAAGACTGAATGAGGCTGAAACCATCGATGGACACAATAGCCTTGGTGTACATTATCAGGAGTTCATCATGCTGAGAAGCCATTTTTAAAAACATTATTCTCAAAGAAAAAAAAAATTAATCACTTTATTAATATACATATACAACAATCAATATCCAACAGTCAGAGAGAAAAGTCTTTCGGTGATAGGAGATTTCTTTCTTTAAGGTTTTAAAAATTATCAAAATATTTTGTATGAGCTGAAAAAAATAAAATCATAATAGTAACTTTGATAAATTTATATTACAGATAGTTTTAATTATATATATTACTGATAAAAAGGGATTTACTTAAAATTTGGTTTAATCTGAAACATTCTGAGTGCATTTAAACTTCAGACTTTTCTGTAAAACAAGGATGACGGAAAATAAAAGAACTTACAGTCTCAGCCATGCCTAAGAATCGAGGATGTGAATATGTTCGACACTTTAACCTTTCTACTCTCTCTGTGTGCAGCAGCTGTGACAGAAGAAGAACACCGACCTGTTGGGGAAAATAAAAAACATTTAAATTTTTTTAAAATGGAAGGACAAGAAGTGGTAGCAAAACATGCAAAATTTATACTAAATTTAATATTTATTCATCTCTTTCAATGAATTAAATTTACCAGAAGAAACATGCAAAATGACTGGAGATTAAAGTAAAAATATAAGAAACAGGGAAAATGTCCTACTTAGGATAATCTAGGAAAAATTATTTAATGAATAAAAAATGTATGTACGAAGAAGTAATATTGAAATAAAATGTATGTAGTACTGATTACCTAGAGCATTGCTTTGCAAACTTTTCATGATAATGGCACACATTTTATAGACATATGTCATATCACTCAAAGTATATATCACATAAAATCAAAATTCCTACAATAATTTGACATCGTCTCCTTTCACTTCAGAATATCATGCACACAAAAATCCTGATCTACACTTAGTCTCCAATAAGTGCTGCTCAATTCCAAAACTTGTTCTCATATGCCAATACATTACTCTAATTCCCCTGTCTTTATAATATCCCAATACTCTAAATGCTATCCACATGAATATTAACTAAATCCCTTATCTCACATTAGCGGTTCACATATTCTTTATATCCGTCATAAGAAAAATAGGCACATAATTGTATTATCATTCTCCAAAGGTCCACCATTAGTGAGCTAGTAAGTACCACATCATGGCACTCAGCTGTTTTGGAATACATTTCCAAATTTTCTTTTTTCATATCCAAATCACTTTTTTGTCTTAAAGAGAACAAATTTGATATACCACCGTCATTTTCTCCTTTTCTTTGAATGAGGGTGTTTGTTTTATTCCAATTTTCAAATAAGTCATCATGATCCAGATATTGCAATTTTGTTTTCGGGTGAAAAATTAATTTTGGTATTTTTCATTAAAAAAATGTAAGCATCATTTCCCTTAATTTGCATAAATGACATGCTCCGGACCTGGCCAGACCCAAAGAATCCTTGTGTGTAGTATCAGCTTTTCAAATTTTAAACCCATTTCTTCACAAATATTTTATTATAATCTTGATTGAAGACGTCTGCTTTTAAAATAATTTACTTCAAACAACTTTGTCCATCAATTTTTCTTAATTCCTTTCCCGTGTTTTTTTAAGCCAGACAAAATTAGTGAATTTGGTGTTTCTTTTTTTTTTTGCGAAACACCTACACCCTGCAGGCACCACACTAATGTGTCCTGACACTGACCTAGAATCTTTAAAAAAACAACAAACCTGTACAATAATAAAGTCTCATAAAAAGTTGTTACCTCAGAATACATCCTAACAAAACCTGAAGAAAATCCCACAATGATACAAGTGCCATCTGGGCCACCTTGAGTGCTCCTGCAGTTAATAAAAGATATGGAAATTAAAGCTAAATGAGACACTGCTTTCAAGACTAATATTAATTTTTATTATTATTATTTTTTTTTAGCTAACTGTCAAGTGGAAGATTTTGACATGCAAAATATAAAATAACTATTACGAGTGACATTTTCTGATTGGCATTGTTTTTGAGTTTTTGGGCTTTGAAATTTTGCTATATAAAGATACAATTCTGAGTACCTTTATATTGGGTCTCTACCAAAGATCAATAAAGAATAAAGGGCACAATTTTCTTACATGCTATGTAAGCTCAAAATTGCATAAATAATAGTTTACTTTCAACATGTCTTTAAGAGTTGTTGTAAAGAAGTTCTACTTCTTGCTGCTCAAATTTGACATATTTAACTTAAGTTCATATGTTTGACAGAAAAGCTACAGCAAGCATTTCTTATAAAATGTATTTCTAATCTAGAGAAACTCAATTTCATTAGTTATGATGTGTTATAAATTTAAGATGGTTTATGCAAAGAATAATGCTGGTCAACAATCAATCAGCCCTGTGAAATTGAACTTGCTTTTCCATAAGTATATAATGATCCCTAAATGCTGTTAGATTTACAACATGCTTATTTCTAGTCAACTTAGTAAAATTAAAAACTAATTCGATTTTGGATTTAGTGAATCTGGTTTGAAATACTTGTAGCTAAAACCATATCATTTAATTTATTACTGAAATGTTACTATTAAAAAGTATATATTTGGACCACAAATGAGTAAATACCATTTGTGAATTTTTCCCTGAACTATTTGCAAGAGTGAGCAGCTGAGGTAATTTGCAATAGATACCTAACTGTCATGTTACCTTTTTTGTGATGCCAGGGGTACACACAAAACTGCTGTAATCATTTCCCTATAATAACGAAAACAGAAATAATGAATTGAAAACAGGGTGTGTAAATCTTAATGACCTGTCTCATACAAATTTAACAATAATTTGCTTTTATTAAAGACATTTTTTATTTAGTGAAATAGGAGTAAATTATATGGAGAAAAAAAGTTTCTATAGGGACAACAGATCACTGCTCAATGTGTCATATTTTCTACTAATAAAATCTCTTGTTATTTTTTAAAGGCTTTATATATCTGGTCTACAACAACATTGATTTTTAACAATTTTAAGCATGAAAATTTAACCTTTTAAAAAAAATGTTGATAAGAAACAAATAAAATTAATTTTTTTTTTAATATCACCTGTCATCTATGCCAAGGGAAGCCTCCCAAACAGGGGTCAAATTGGAATCAATTTCTTCACCTTTTTTCTTTGGATCCCATTTTTCTGAAAATGAAAACAATTAATTCATAAAGTGGTGTGTGTAACAAACTGTTTCACTGGGTCAATATTTCAATGGAGATGTAAAGATAGATCAAATTTCTGATGGCTTGGAAAAAAAAATTACTGCTTCTTGTTTTTTCCCTTTATGACATATGAAAATGACCAACTTTATACAAAATTGTATCGCCCATCACATGGTAATTGGTAGAAGTATAGAACAATGGGTGAACTATTTTCAAATAAAAATATTAGAGTGGCTTAGGTCATAAAATAGGCTAAAAGCAGATAATTAGTTTCCCATAATAAAAATAAAATGCCATTCCATACTTAGCAATAAGCATTCATTTAACAAACAAAAAAATTATTATATTTTATAAAAAAACTTTGATTATGTTTTTTTTTGTTGTTGCAATTATTTAATTTTTGCATGAGACTGGATTACTACAGTACATCAGCTTTAAGCATGTTTTGATATTTGATAAAGCTAGCAGAGATGTTTTTCCAGATTTAAAAGTGTCTCCTGCACTTTCTTGGTTTTTAAGGGTTTTCACTCTTAATCTTTCATTTTCACATTCCTCAAAGGTTCCTTTTCTCACAGATTGGTTAGCTCATCTATCAGCATTTCATTGCTACTCTAACTGACCTTTGCTTACAGACCAATCCAACGAATTACATGCTTTATACTTAGATAAATATACTCACGGGTGAGGACACATATTTTGTGTTCATGAGCAATGGCCAGAACATCATTGGTTGGAGAGAGTGATATTAGACAAGACTGAAGCCACTTATTTTGATTTTCCCCACTGGCAAGGAAATCTGTTTGATCATTTTCTTCTGTTGCAGTCTCGTGGTCATCAAAGCCCCATTCTTGGTCCCAGTTGTCTGTTTCTTTTGTTGATATTGAAGAGAAGCAGCAAATATGTACAAAATGTAAATAATTTGAATGATTTTTACAAAGATAGTAATTTTTATTACTACTAACAAAAATATCATTAAATTAAAAATATAAAAAGATTTTTATATATTATATTTTTTTTTTTTTGTACTTCGCTATTAAGGGGTTGAGGCCTCAGGTAAACATCTCAATATCTTAAATGGACAAAGGAAAAAGTGTTTGTACTTTAGAAGGTTTATGCTAACTATATAGAGAGTTTAGTACTTTAGTGTTTGTAAGTGTTTGTACTTTAGAAGGTTTATGCTAACTATAACAGTGGAAGACTGGTTAATAATTTAATGCCTAAGTACAAGATTGATAAAAATACTTTTTGAATATTTTTCTTTAAGTTTTGATTTAGACTAGTGGCAAAATCTTACTATCAACAGCTTTTAGTATTATCTTTCTTCTTCTTATGCCTTTATACCCCCTCTGGCACAAGAATTTTCTATTCATCACGGTCCTATGCTTTCTTTCCAGTTGTTTCCAGGTAATTCCCATAATTTGTGCGTCTGCCTCTAGGTCGCGTCTCCATGTATTCTTTGGCATTCCTCTCTTTTTCCCTGTGGATTCCATGTTAGGAATTGTCTGGTGATGCTATCTGGGGATTTTTGGAGAGTGTGCCCTATCCACTTCCATCTTTTCTTTATGATGTCTTCTTCAATGGGCACCCGGTATGTACATTCTAGTAGATCTTTGTTGGTGATGGTATTTGGCCATTTGATGTTTAAGATCTTTCTAAGGCATGTGTTTATGAAGGTCTGTACTTTATGCGTAATGCGTGCTTTGTTTTCAAAGTTTCTGCTCGAAATAGTAGGACTGTTTTGACATTTGAGTTTAAGAATCTGACTTTGGTTTGCAGTTTCAGATCCTTTGACTTCCATATTTTCTTTAATACCGATAGCAAAAATGCTCATCTAGCCTTTCCAATTCTAGCTCTTACATCCACATCAGATCTGCCATTTATGTCGATGGTGCTGTCTAAATATGTGAAGGACTCCACTTCTTCCAGTGCCTTTCCTGCCAGAGAGATATGCTATTGGTTTGCTGAAATTACCTTCATGATCTTTGTCTTGCTTTTATATATATTGAATCAGAGCTTTGCTGAAGTGGTGGCTACCTCCTTTGTCTTTTCCTGCATTTGTTGCTGGTTGTGGTACAGAAGTGCAATGTCGTCTGCAAAGTCTTTATCATTCAGCTGTTCCCAGAGTGTCCATTGTATACTGTTACTCTTTTTGCCTGCGGACTTTTTCATTATCCAGTCAATGGCAAGGATGAATAGGAAGGGGGACTAGAGACATCCTTGTCTGACTCCAGTTTCCACTTTAAAGTCATCTGTGAGTCTACCTTCGTGTACCACCCTGCATGTCTTTTCTTCATAATTTAGTATTATAGCCATGAGTAATACTTTGAAATTTTCAAATATCTTTGCAACTTTCTTATACTTAATTGGACATATTTAAACTAAACATGTATTTAGATAATTTAAAGGATGAACTGGCAAAAATGTGTAACTCCCTTCCCCCCAGTCCTAGATGCATGATGACATGTATGGATGGCCCCTTATACATGCCATACCTACTTGACTTAGTATAAATAGTATCTATGAGTATGAAAAATTATTAAGACAGACTATGTCTATGGTAGGCCTATTGACTTGTAGCAGAGACAAAATAAATTTTTCCATATTTGGTAATTTTGGACACCAATCTGTAAATATTTATTTATTAGTATGTCTACTCAGTAGGCTATGATCTATTGTAGGCTACTAATATTATGTGCTTTTGTGTTAGTAATTTATCTGAGTTTATCATTTTTAGGGAGTGAGGGCTCAATCCGATTCATCCCATTTGAAAGTGGTAATAAGGGGGGAGTGACTGTATTCAGGTTCGGTAAGAGGCGCCGTCCAGTCTCACCTAGATGCGCCATCTGGCAGTGCGTACAACCAATCGCAGTGGACTTACTTTTCCTCTCTTCCGTCCCATATTGCCTGCATTAACTCTCTTACCTACTAATTATAATGGTCTATAACATTCCGCTTGCTGTCCTCTCGGATACTACATTGAAACTGTTTATGTTATTTTCCTGTTAAAACAGGCAATTTGTGCCATTTACATGTTTATTTAAGATTCTGTTTGGATTCACTCGCCTTTGTTTATTTTTGGAGCATTATTTTTTTTATCTATTAGTATTAATACGCTGAAGGAATGTTAGTGAAATTTTGTTTTGTTTGTTTGTTTTCTAAGTTTTTTCTTAAAAGGTCTTTTATTTTTTATACGCCTAAACATAAAATTTTAATTTTTTTGTTGAAAAATGTACATTATTCAAAGGAATATTTCAAAATTCATGTGAATTTTTCGTAGCCGATGCTAAGTGGTAGATTAGGCCGTAGATTACTGTCACTGACAATTATTGGGATGGTTTTGAGTTAGCTGTAAGGCTGACGATGTGTTCCATGGTATATAGGTCACGGAGGTTCCCCCAGGTCCATTTCTGTCTACAGTGCCATACTAAAAAGATTTTGATGTTTGTTTTTACATAATACAAGTTATTGTTTTCTTATTTTAAATTTTTTGTTAAATTGGGGAGGGGTCTCCCCTCCCCAGAGAATTTATATTTTTCTTATTTTGGTATTTAAAGTGAGGGGAGGGGTTTGGGGAGGGTTCTCCCCTCCCCAGTTCCTAGAAGATCATTCATTCCAAATACAATTTAAGCAGTGGTCTTCCTTTTTTTTACCTAAGTTTCAAAATACGGGTATTTCAACTAATCAAAATACAGCAATTTTGGCGGGTGTCTTTTTTTTCATAGGTGTTGACTGTTGGGTCTTAGGGTATCAGCAACTGAGCAAGGATGTGTTTCTTTTTTTCTTTCTTTTGAATCATGTAAGTTGAATTTTAATACAAATTAATGGAAAATTTCATTTCAATATGCTTCATATTAACCGTATCGTTTATGACGCCAGTAATGCTCAATAAAGAACAATAATTATAATAATAACACACATCGTTCGGGTCCTTCAAAGAATAGATCTATTCACGTAAGTCCAGTGTTGGGATTCCCCAATGTGACGTCACTGCGCTTAGGGTGAGAAAACTCTTGGCAAAACCCATAACGTTAACTCAAAATTTACCAATTATTGTAATTGACAATTGTTTTTACTTTTTACATTTACATTTAGGGTTGTTTGCTGAATTAGGCTTCTTGACGACAATTTCGTTGCATTTTCTTTTCAGGTCTTATCATGACCAATGACCATACTATGTTTCCCTAAATTATCTCATCCTAAATGATTTGGCAAAGTATTTTAATTAATCCTAAGAATAATATCATATGTTCACCATTATTCTTTTCTGTTGTAATTGAATCTTTGATTGGTGTGCCTTCCTTCGATAGAGTTGGGAAAAAATACCTTCTCACTGATGCTATGTCATGAAACTTAGATAAAGCTGAAAGCTGACAAGACATGTTGATCTGCTAAATTAATTCCTGAATTAAAAGGAAGTTTAATTATGATACATCTCTTATTGATAATCTCGATGATGACGACACTGAAGCTAGATGAAATCAAAACAAATGACAGCCATCTTTAGGTATCGCCATTTACCAAAAACGGGGGGAAAAAAAAATAAACCTAAACGGTAAGATTTTAATTTTTTGAATAATTTTTTTGGTTTTTTTTTGTGTGTGTTGTTTTTGTTGTTGAAACATTGATATTATATTATTCATCAAAAAGAAATGTACCAAACGCATTTTATTATGTACTTTAAGTGAGAAGGGAAAATAAAATTTAGGCATGCACTATATGATATGTTATATGCAAAAATGGAAGTAATTCCCCGCTACGCCTCTGGAAAGAAAATAAAAGCATAAATTATATTCAAATTATAAATTATTATTATTAGGACTGTGCCGGGTAAATTTTTTTCCCAGTACAGGGTCCGGCTATTTCGAGACTACACCCGGTGCGAGTGTTACAATTCAAGAATTATCTGAAAAAACGAGAATTATTTTCCACCCAAAAGGGAAAACTGAAAACTGCGTATACACACAGTCTTTGTCACGAATGTCATAGGGGGAAAAAACCCACCTTGTAATAAGAATATCCATTAAAATTTAATAAAAATAAAATTATACATAGTTCTACAACATGATAATTAGAGTTTCTGTTAAAATAATACATTTTGTTTTCTTTATTATTTTGTTATTATTTTTTTTCTTTCTTTCTTTCATTTTCAATTTTTTCCCATACCATTATATAATAATATTCCAATTAAAGTAAAGCCAATGGAGGAGATTCATAAGTTAATAAGAATGTCTATTAAAATAATAAATAATTAAACAACAGCTACAATCTAATAATTTATAATTAATTTCACAAGCTAAATTACTTCCCATTTAAATAATAGGGTCTACATTGTTAAAAAAATATATTGAATCCAATATTTCTATTTCTCTCTCTGTTGATGAAGAGATAAACATCAGGATCGCAAAAGCAGCATCAATTATGGCTAAACGGAATAACCGGGTGTGGAATAATATCAATATAACTGAAACAATTTGAACACAAAACATTTGTAATATTTTTTTTTCACCAACAGCCATTCGGAGAGTTCTCTTAGCCATATCAGGGACTTATTAGTTCTCATTAAGATTTGTGATTTCAAGGGGAGCACGCTGGTAAATTCGTACAGATTGGGGAACAAACGAATTTTTAAATCTTTCAGTCCTCGCCCTGATGGAAAGAATTCGCCTCGAACGGGCCGATCTTAAGTATCTGTGATGAAGAGAGTGGGATGTATCATTCAAAATGTGTTTAGTTTTACAATAATACCTTTCTTCAAATAGTTCTTCCAGTGAAGGATGTTTAGTTTGTGTTATGTTCATTGCTTTCTTGATTAGTCGGTTTATGTGGTGTTTAATAGCAGACGTTGAATTCCCTCACCGGCAGGCAATACTGAAATTAAGTAGGCTTCCAATTGTTGCACTTTAGAATAAGTTAACCACTAAGACTTGTTTGTTTACGCCAAATTGGACAGTTTTTTTTTTTGGAGATAGAACAGTCTTTGGTTGAATTTCTTATACATCATTTGGCCGTGCTCATGCCATGTTCGTTTATTATTAATGGTGCCACCTAAGTACTTATATGCCCCTACTTTCTCTACACTTTGATTTTTTTATGATGAGATCTGCATGTTCTTCAGATAATTCAAAATCGGAGTGATTCCCCCTTTCTGTTTTTTTTAAAAAAATCAAATTTTCATTTTTATAAAAAATCCTCCAAATATCCCCCCCCCCCCCCCCCCNCCCCCCCCCCCCCCAATTTAACAGTGCAGCTTGGCAACAGGCACATTGAGCAAGTTGAAGTTTAATAAATAAATAACTCCATGCATAGATGCAGGCCATAAGTCCACGTTTGCCCATATAGCGTGGAGAGTATGTGTTTTTTGTACATACAGTGGTACCTCGACATACGAGAGCCCTGACATACGAGATTTTTGAGATACGAGCCGTCGAGCGAGCGATGTTTTGCTTTGAGATACGAGAAATATTTGAGATACGAGGAACCGGATCAGCGGGTCGGCCGGCTGCAGTGACGAAAATTAAGCGAAAATAAACCAAAATAATTGTACAGTGGCATTTAAGTTCAATTAATTTCAGTGAAGTTTAGTTAATTTCCATTACGTTTGTGGATAAGGTGTAGCATTAAGAGTGTAACGAGTAAGTGAATTAAAGTAACCGAAAGAGTTTACCATTAACAGTGTAGCCAGCAAGTGAACGAAGTGAAGCTCATTCGCCCATCTCCTCCACCCTATACCTCTGCCAGCATCTTCCGTAAGCTCAAGTCGGCTGATTTCCAAGTTTATTTCTTTACATTCTCTTTTATTACGTTTTTTATACAATATTTGTAATTTATAAATACATTTTTCTTATTCAAAAAACATGTAACAAAAACAATTGAGGCGGCATTTTGGGGGCTGGAACGGATTAATGGCATTTCTATTAATTTCAATGGGGAAAATTGATTTGAGATAAGAGCAAATTGACTTACGAGCAAGGTTACGGAGCGAATTAAATTCGTATCTCGAGGTACCACTTATTTAAAAGATTTTTTTTCTTCTTCTTAAGAGCAAACTAATTACCGGTAATTGACACAGCACTTGTAACCTACCGTCTTTGCTGTCTTCATCTTGGCCAGATTAGTAAGCTGCAGAGTCTCAGCGAGTCTGGGGTTACTCACCAACAATTCAAATTGTAAATGTTCAAATTCCTCTTGTCGATCTTCAAGCTGAAAATGACGGAAGTGAATTATTTCATCACATAAGATGAAGTAATGATTGGGTCTCGGCGAATGTTCAACAATTTCAACTATTTACACAATTTATTGCTTTCTGGTCATTTTTTAAATGCAACTTCATTTAACATTTCAATATAACATAACGTTGTGGAGAATTGTAAGAGTAATACCAACACCCATAGTACTGTATGAACGGTCACTGCATGTTCCTGATGGTGACATACTCAACAACAGTAATAAGCGAATCACTCTTGTAAACATTAACAATAGTTAATTTTTATCCAGATTGCTTAAAAGCACCAAGATAATAGTTTAGTCATGGTGAATGTCAAGAATTTTGTCAAGAATCAACTGAATGGTTAAATCAATCCAATTACAATTGATAAAAAATGTTTTCAAAGGTAGATTTTTTAAAAAATTGGTATAATTTATAAATGCAACTAATGCAAGTGCAAAAAAAACCAAAACCCCCCCCCCCCCCAGAAATTAAAAAAATTTTTTAAAAAAAAATTTTTTAAAAAAATTGTAAAAATTAAAAAAACAACCAAAGAAAAGAAAAAAAAAACCAAAACCCCCCCCCCCCCCCCAGAAATGTATAAATTTTAATTTAAGTTGCCAGGTTGTAAATTATTTAAATAGCATTTAAAATAATAAAGACTATGAGACCCACTGTTAAGCTAATGATAGGCATAGCTATGCCAGGTTTGGTGCCGAGACCTACTTTGAAGCCGGTTTGGTGCTCATCAGCTAGGCCCAGGAAGCTCTCAGAAAACCAGTTGTCAAACAAGGAATTTAAAAAGAAAGAAACAGCAGCTAAAATCATAATAGCTCTATAGACGGAGGCGTGTTGACACTAGGGACAGCCTTGTTGACACACCAGAGACGCGATAATGACATTATTGTATAGGACCTCAGATAAGTTAGTACTGCAAAACTAAAATTCATGCAAAATACCTTTATAATTATATGCTTCAGGAGCCATGAAATACTTCTTCTTCCTCTATTTATCATGGGCCCACGATCAATGTATTGATCATTCTGGCTCCTAAGTATGTAGAGGGGTTTGCAATGTTACTGTGCCTGGAATTGAAGAAGATAGTTCACTGATTGGAAGGGCTACTCAGTAAGGGTATCATGAACTTGGGATAGAAGGCCTGAGGCAATAGAGGCAAATGTGTCAAGTGTTGTCGCCTCAACTGTTCTTTTTAGAAGCTTGTAACAGTCTCTGATTGTCTTTGGCAAGAATGAGCAGTTCCTGTACTGTGTTCTTGCTGTTATGAGCCAGAAGTGCCTGTCATGGCCTCGGGAGAGGGACAAGTTTTTGTTTAATGCTGAAGCAGTGGGCTAGTCCATTATTTATCTTGTACATCCTGGAGAGCCTGGATAATTGTCGTCGTCCCTGCAATGGTGACCAGCCCAGTGTTACCCGCATGCTGCCAACACTAGAGGTGTTCCTGTAGCGGTTCAGGACAAAACGTGCTGCTCGTCGCTGGACCGCCTCCAACCTGTCAATGCTCCTCTGGTTGAATGGGTCCCACACTGAACATGCATAACCTAAAAGCGGCCGGACAAAGGCTTTATAGGCTTTTCTTTCACACTGGAGTTGCCGATCTTCAGATTTCGCCTTAAGAACCTTTAGGGTCTTGTTTGCCTGGTTGCACACATTGTTAATATGCGCGTCCAATAGTCATCTCTTCAAGCTGAAATGCTTTAAAAGACAAAATTGTTTAATTTACTTACCAGGAAATGTAATCGATGGTGGGGACAAAAAAAAAAAAAAAAAGAAAAAAAAGAGAAAAGAAAAGAAAAAAAAAAAAAAAAAAAAAAACAAAAATGAAAGGAAATCGATGGTGGGGAAAAAAAAAAAAAAAAAGACAAAAAAGACAAAAGAAAAGAAAAGAAACGGAGCTACCTCTGACCAATGACAGCATCATTATTTGATAATGGTACAGTAATGTTCATACTTAGGACCTTAAAAAAGATAATATGAACAAAATATACGTCATGCCAAAGACAAACACATAGAGCTTATAGCTCGCTGGGACACATTTAATTTCTGAAAAACTAAATCAGTCGCAGACGACGTGACGCTCAAAACGTTTTGTTTACACCACACACAAAAATGTACACTTAAAAAGTGACGTGTTTATTATTGCATTTTCTGGTTCAGCCAACGCCCCAAAGGGGGGCAGGGTATTTTTCATTGTCAAAAAAAGGGGGAGGGGGAATTCTAAAATGAGCTGTCTAGAATTTGTAAAACGAAGTGTCATGAGGCGCATTTGAAGGGCAAACATAGTGCTCATATCAAATCAGATTTAAATTAATTTCAAGAAAAATTTTGAAAAAAATAAAAAAAGAACAACCATAAAGTCTCTGTTTACTGCTTGTTTGCTTATCCCTGGAAAACTGGCAGGTACTAAGGTTTCTCAACTCCCGTGTTTGCTTATCCCTGGAAAACTGGCAGGTACTAGAGTTTCTCATCTCCCGTGTTTGCTTATCCCTGGAAAACTGGCAGGTACTAAGGTTTCTCATCTCCTGTGTTTGCTTATCCCTGGAAAACTGGCAGGTACTAGAGTTTCTCATCTCCCGTGTTTGCTTATCCCTGGAAAACTGGCAGGTACTAGAGTTTCTCATCTCCCGTGTTTGCTTATCTCTGGAAAACTGGCAGGTACTAGAGTTTCTCATCTCTCGTGTTTGCTTATCCCTGGAAAACTGGCAGGTACTAAGGTTTCTCATCTCCCGTGTTTGCTTATCCCTGGAAAACTGGCAGGTACTAAGGTTTCTCATCTCCCGTGTTTGCTTATCCCTGGAAAACTGGCAGGTACTAGAGTTTCTCATCTCCCGTGTTTGCTTATCCCTGGAAAACTGGCAGGTACTAAGGGTTTTCCCCTTGAACCTTTCAATTTTTTTCAGGTCACTAATTCTAGTTTCGAATATGTCACTAAATATTTACAGGCACATGTTTCAAAGAACTTGTAACAAGGGATTCGTTTCGAATAAAAAAAAAACTAAATTTAGAAATGTTAATACATGTATCTATAAATGTATATGTGTCACTATGTTGATTTTTGAAATAAATTAATAAAAAAAACCCCTACATAATATAAAGGTTTATTTGACAGATGACATCTTGGGATAATCAAGTAACAAAAGCGCAGGTTCCCAACCCATTGGGGGATGACCTCAAATAAGGTTGTGAAGGGATTTGTGTGGGGTCGCGAGCTGAAACAACAGACTCAAAAAAAAAAAAAAAAGCATTATTTTTTTAAATATTAAATTTGTGTTTTAAAGTTTGAGTCTTAATTCAATCATGACTTTAGAAATGTCACCAATAACATTATAATAGAAACTTAAGTTTTGAAATGTTTTATTTTTTCCCAAGAATGTACCCTATTAAAAAAAGCCCCGCCCCCAACCCCCCGCCCCCAACCCCCACCCGCCCCCACATTGTGGTAAGGGTCGCTTTGCTCCTAGACGAATGTGGTCGCTACTTGAAAACGAATGAGAGCCTGTTTACTAAGGCTACCGAGCTTAGTAAGTCAGCGCAGTTAACTAGTTTTTACAGCTATTAGCTAATGTTGACAACTTGTGACAATCTGTTAGTTGCTGAAATAAAAAAAAAAGAAAATAAATTACACAATTTTATTTTAATGGCGTACCCTCCGGATTGCCATGTATGTGTGCGCGTGTGTATCTGTGTATGTATGCATAGGTGCATGGGTGTATGTTTTTGTGTATTTGCATGTGAGAGAGAGAGAGAGAGAGAGAGAGAGAGAGAGAGAGAAAGAGAGAGAGAGAGAGAGGCAGAGAGGGGGTAAGGCAAGGGCGCGAGAGGCGGAGATGGAGACTGAAGAGGGAGGATGAGAAATGAAGAGGGGGAGAGAGGGTGGATTGCCATGTATGTGTGCGCGTGTGTATCTGTGTATGTATGTGTAGGTGCATGGGTGTATGTTTTTGTGTATTTGCATGTGAGAGAGAGAGAGAGAGAGAGAGAGAGAGAGAGAGAGAGAAAGAGAGAGAGAGAGAGAGGCAGAGAGGGGGTAAGGCAAGGGCGCTAGAGTCGTAGATGGAGACTGAAGAGGGAGGATGAGAAATGAACAGGGGGAGAGATGGCGGGAAAGATGGAGGAAGAGATGGAGGGATAGAAGGGGAGAGGTAGAATGGAGGAATCGTCCTTGCTAAAATAAAGTTTTAATAACGATGAATTCATCGACAGGGAAGAAACACTAATTCAGTGATGTCAAATTTAAACAAGAGATTTTTTTTAACCAAAGCAAGGCCAGGGCCCGCGACTCTTATCCTTTGAAAAAAATATTCTACGTCAAATTACTTCTCACTTGTGCGCTTGTCTCCCTTAGGCTGTCGTGACCTCAATACCTCACAGCAGGGTTAAGTGTGTCACCCACAGGTGTGTTACGTCGCCTGTATAAGGTGTCCTGTGACAACAAAAGATGCCATCTTCCAACCCTTTCAGGAATTAGTAAAGTACATTTAAGAAAAAGTTAGTGATTTTTAGATAATGATTTCTCTTTGTTTCAAAGCAGTGAGTATGACCTATAGATATATGTGTACTTCAAGTACTTTGTTTTGTTAACTGTAGAGTATGATGTATGCTGGAGGAAACCTAAGACTAAGAAGATAAGCTTGGAAGTAAGTCCTTGAACGTAAGAAGTAAGAAGGACTCATATATGTTCATCGAGAAAACTCCGTGTAAAGGTCCCCCCTACGTGTGTTGGTTATAGTTCAATGACTGGGAAGGGGAAAAAACAACAACAACAAACCTAGTGTGTATGTTAAATATTGAAAACACGGACTAGTACCCCAAATTGAAAGGTAGGCCTAAATAATAGAAAAACCATAAACAGGATCATAACGATGCCATGTCGTTGATTTTTTTATGATTGCGACACGACATCCTCCTAGGGATGGCCGTAATCTTTAGCACTTCCTACAACACGTCATGTACCTATCAAGCAAATATCCCCGTCTTTGGCAGTGGCGAAGCCAGGGTTGGTGCCGCCTGGAACGTGCCAATATTTGTGCATACTGCTCTCTGCAGCTTTTGCCGCTCAGGGATCGACTGCTCTTTGCCCCATGCACACCAAACTTCCGAGGCTATATGTGTAGTTGTCTGATGGATGTGTGTCAAATTACAAGTTAGACGTGTCCGACCCAATGACGGAACGATTACAAATTTTATTGTCTCTCTACATCAGTGGTTCTCAACTACCCTAATCCCGCGACCCTTTAATTACAGTGTCTCATGTTGTGGTGACCCCAAACATAAAATTATTTTCGTTGCTTCTTGAAAAATATGAACCCCGCGATGGTCTTACGCGATCCCTGTGTAAGGGCCGTTCGACCCTCAAAGGGGTCGCCCCCCCCCCCCCACAGGTTGAGAACCGCTGCTCTATACCTAACATCACTTCCACGTTCCATATATCTCCCCCACTTTTTAAAAACAATGTCATCCTTAAATTTCTTAACCTAAATATATATATATCTTGATATCAACGTAAAGCACAACACACCCCTCTCAACACACACTTCTCAACACACACCTCACAACACACACCTCTCAACACACACAGCTACCACTACAACGTTTTCGTCATTTGACGCTCTCTATATTTAGAAATGATGACACACGAACAACCCGTCAATTAATGCAGTGCAGTTTTAAACAAAAGCCCCATCGTCGCTATAACTTTGCATTACAATTGCTAACGGCCCAAATCATTCAGGATAACACCAGCTATGTCTGCCCACCTAGTAGTGTAGACCCAAAAGCTATAGTACAGATTCTCAAACTTTTGTTTTGAGCCACGACACAATTTTATAAAAAATCATTTTATAGAGGCAAAGTGATACGCGACACAATTAAAATACAAAAAAACCAAAAAACTCCAGTAAGTGAAAAAAAAAACCCACCTAGAAAACTAGAGACAGTTCTAGGAAATGAATCGACCGTTATTCAAAACATGATACTTTCTTAAAACATCAATTTTTTTGATGTCACCGATTCAGCGGCGGCCCCCATAGACAAGCTTCCGCGATATGGGGTCGTGACCAGTGGTTTGGGGACCAGAGGGTGGCAGTGTGAGCAGTGGGTTGGGGACCAGAGGGTGGCAGTGTGAGCAGTGGGTTGGGGACCAGAGGGTGGCAGTGTGAGCAGTGGGTTGAGAACCAGAGGGTGGCAGTGTGAGTAGTGGATTGGGAACCAGAGGGTGCCAGTGTGAGCAGTGGATTGGGAACCAGAGGGTGCCAGTGTGAGAAGTGGATTGGGAACCAGAGGGTGCCAGTGTGAGCAGTGGGTTGAGAACTAGAGAGTGGCAGTGTGAGCAGTGGATTGGGAACCAGAGGGTGGCAGTGTGAACAGTGGACTGGGAACCAGAGGGTGCCAGTGTGAGCAGTGGGTTGAGAACTAGAGAGTGGCAGTGTGAGTGGATTGGGAACCAGAGGGTGGCAGTGTGAACAGTGGACTGGGAACCAGAGGGTGCCAGTGTGAGCAGTGGGTTGAGAACTAGAGAGTGGCAGTGTGAGCAGTGGATTGGGAACCAGAGGGTGGCAGTGTGAGCAGTGGACTGGGAACCAGAGGGTGGCAGTGTGAGTAGTGGATTGGGAACCAGAGAGTGGCAGTGTGAGCAGTGGATTGGGAACCAGAGGGTGGCAGTGTGAGCAGTGGATTGGGAACCAGAGGGTGGCAGTGTGAGTAGTGGATTGGGAACCAGAGGGTGGCAGTGTGAGTAGTGGATTGGGAACCAGAGAGTGGCAGTGCGAGTAATGGAATAAGAACCAGAGAGTGAAAGTGGGTAGGGAACCAGAGAGTAGCAGTGCGAGCAGTGATGAAGGAAGTGTGAGTGTGTGCGTGTGTAGGGAGGGGCGTTGCCACTGATAACGAGTTCTTATTGGATACACTTGAACATTCTGAATTGAATTATTTAAGAACCTCGTTGTAGTAACAGAAACGTTGTAGTAGTTAGCATAACGTGATCAACACCCCCCCCCCCCCAACCTTCCATTGTTCGACCCAAAACAAATCCCCTCAGTTCCTTTTCACGTAAACACCCCATACCCTTTTCCTAGTTTATCTAACACAGATTACCCAACCCCCTAGTTCACTAACATACGTTACCCTTCCCCCAGTTCACTAGCATACACTCCCCGCCCCCCACAGTGTAATAAACATACACCGAGAGTCCGTTTCTGTGGGAGCTTTCTGCTGCAAGTTGTGTGTTAGTTTTGAATTAATTGAGTGCTAAACGGTTAAAGCAACGACTTGTTATTGACAGATTATAATATGACAGTTGCCGATAACGCTTAGCATCATTTGCTTATCAAAATGTTAAAGTGAATTGTGCATTGGTAAACCATGATTTAAGTGAATTGTGCATTGGTAAACAATGATTTAAGTGAATTGTGCATTGGTAAACAATGATTTAAGTGAATTGTGCATTGGTAAACCAGGATTTAAGTGAATAGTGCATTGGTAAATCATGATTTTAGTGAATTGTGCATTGGTAAATCATGATTTAAGTGTATTGTGCATTGGTAAATTATTATTTAAGTGAATTGTGCATTGGTAAACCAAGATTTAAGTGAATTGTGCATTGGTAAATCATGAATTAGGGAATTGTGCATTGGTAAACCATGACTTAAGTGTATTGTGCATTGGTAAACCATGATTTTAGTGAATTGTGCATTGGTAAATAATTTTTTAAGGGAATTGTGCATTGGTAAATCATGATTTTAGTAAATTGTGCATTGGTAAATCTTGATTTAAGTGTATTGTGCATTGGTAAATCATGATTTAAGTGAATTGTGCATTGGTAAATCACGATTTAAGTGAATTGTGCATTGGTAAATCATGATTTAAGTGAATTGTGCATTGGTAACCCATGATTTAAGTGAATTGTGCATTGGTAAATCATGATTTAAGTGAATTGTGCATTGGTAAATCATGATTTAAGTAAATTGTGCATTGGTAACCCATGATTTAAGTGAATTGTGCATTAGTAAATCATGATTTAAGTGAATTGTGCATTGGTAAACCAAGATTTAAGTGAATTGTGCATTGGTAAATCATGATTTTAGTGAATTGTGCATTGGTAAACCATGACTTAAGTGTATTGTGCATTGGTAAACCATGATTTTAGTGAATTGTGCATTGGTAAATCATTTTTTAAGGGCATTGTGCATTGGTAAATCATGATTTTAGTGAATTGTGCATTGGTAAATCATGATTTAAGTGAATGGTGCATTGGTAACCCATGATTTAAGTGAATTGTGCATTGGTAAACCATGTTTTAAGTGAATTGTGCATTGGTAAATCATGATTTAAGTGAATTGTGCATTGGTAAACCATGTTTTAAGTGAATTGTGCATTGGTAACCCATTTTTTAAATGAATTGTGCATTGGTAAACCATGTTTTAAGTGAATTGTGCATTGGTAACCCATGTTTTAAGTGAATTGTGCATTGTTAAACCATGTTTTAAGTGAATTGTGCATTGGTAAACCATGACTTAAGTGAATTGTGCATTGGTAAACCATGATTTTAGTGAATTGTGCATTGGTAAATCATGATTTTAGTGAATTGTGCATTAGTAAATCATGATTTAAGTGTATTGTGCATTGTTAAACCATGTTTTAAGTGAATTGTGCATTGGTAAATCATGTTTTAAGTGAATTGTGCATGGGTAAACCATGTTTTAAGTGAATTGTGCATTGGTAAACCATGATTTCAGTGAATTGTGCATTGGTAAATCATGATTTAAGTAAATTGTGCATTGGTAATCCATTTTTTAAGTGAATTGTGCATTGGTAAATCATGATTTAAGTGAATGGTGCATTTGTAAACCATGATTTAAGTGATTTGTGCATTGGTAACCCATGTTTTAAGTGAATTGTGCATTGGTAAACCATGATTTAAGTGAATTGTGCATTGGTAAACCATGATTTAAGTGAGTTGTGCATTGGTAAACCATGATTTAAGTGAATTGTGCATTGGTAAACCATGATTTAAGTGAATTGTGCATTGGTAAACCATGATTTAAGTGATTTGTGCATTGGTAACCCATGTTTTAAGTGAATTGTGCATTGGTAAACCATGATTTAAGTGAGTTGTTCATTGGTAAACCATGATTTAAGTGAGTTGTGCATTGGTAACCTATGTTTTAAGTGGTTTTCCAAAGTGAAAGGAACGTTGCTATTAGTTTAAAAAGGATTTTACATGAATTTGAAAGTGTGTGTCAAATGTCACTGTTAATAGGCTCATGTATGCTGCCTATATCTGTGCACAGAATCCTATGTATGCCTTCTATGTCCGTGCACATAGCCCTATATGCTGTCTATGTCCATGCACATAGCCCTATATGCTGTCTATGTCCGTACACATAGCCCTATATACTGTCTATGTCCATGCACATAGCCCTATATGCTGTCTATGTCCGTACACATAGCCCTATGTATGCTGTCTTTGTCCGTGTACATAGCCTTATGTATTCTGTTTATGTCCATGCACATATCCCTATATGCTGTCTATGCCCGTGCACATAGCCCTATGTATGCTGTCAATGTCCGTGCACATAGCCCTATGTATGTTGTCTTTGTCCGGGCACATAGCTCTATGTATGCTGTCTATGTCCATGCACATAGCCCAGTGTATGCTGTCAATGTCCGTGCACATAGCCCTATGTATGTTGTCTTTGTCCGTGCACATAGCTCTATGTATGCTGTCTATGTCCGTGCACATTGCCCTATGTATGTTGTCTATGTCCACTCACATAGCCCTATATATGTTTTCTTAGTCCCTGCACATAGCCCTATATATTATGTCTATATCCGTACACATAACCCTATGTATTATTTCTATATCCGTGCACATAGCCCTATGTATTATGTCTATATCCGTGCACATAGCCCTATGTATTATGTCTATAGCCGTGCACTTAGCCCTATGTAAGCTCCTTTGAAAATTGGTTGATCACCACTAGATGGGCTAATCCCCCACTGTGGGTGGGGGGGGCGCCACAAGATGATGCTGACTGTGAAGCAGAGTTCTAGCTAGAGTGTTTGGCGCACAAGGACAAGACTCATTTTTACGCCAACCGTCAATTTTCATCAATTAAATAACACCATAGCCTAAATCTCCCTCTACCCAACTTGGCTGGCGCCCGGGGAATTATGCTCTACTCTGACACCTTAGATACGTTTCTGCCAGCTTAGCTACGTGTCTGCCACCTTAGCTACGTGACTGCCACCTTAGCTACGTGTCTGCCACCTTAGCTAGTCTCGGTTCACCTTAGCGACGTCTCTGCCACCTTAGCTACGTCTCGGGCCACCTTAGCTATGTCTCTGCCACCTTAGCTACGTCTCGGGTCACCTTATCTACGTCTCTGCCACCCTAGCTACGTCTCGGGCCACCTTAGCTACGTCTCTGCTGTGAAAACTAAAATTCAAACAATATGAGAGACAGAAAACAAGCTCTGTGTAATATCATGTCATTGAGACACATTTTTTAATCTTCAGTGTCTGGTAGAAAGTTTATCTGTCTTGTCTGCTATAAGTTCAGCTTTCTTGTCTGGTTGAAGCAGGGGCGTAGCTAGGGGTGGTGTTGATGCGGAACGAACCGGGTGACACCATCTCAAGGGGATGACACCCAATTAAAAAAATTCATATTTACAGAGCACACACTGCTCGGTCTAACCGAATTTCACAAATGGGTAACATTTTCCACACATGTAACCAGTCAATTCTTAAAAGTTCAAGATTGATGCTCGATAAATGAGGTGACCCAATAATTAGGTCAGAAAAACACAGTTTTAAGTGACAATAAACTATATTAATCTAAATTATGAGAAATAAAGCTTTCCATTGATACCAAATACGTTGTGGCCGGGTGATTCTAAAGTACACGTCATTGTTATACTGTGGACTTATTTTAAGAAGAAGAAATTTTTTGTGAAAGTCGGGGGGGGGGGGTAACACCACTAGTTTATCGCACCGGGTGACAACCAATGTTCCCTTTAAGGTTTGCTGGTTCGTGTGCAAAATCATACAGTTGTGGGCAAAGTTTTACAGCATCGATTTTTTTTTTGTTATACTGTGGACTTATTTTAAGAAGAAGAAATTTTTTGTGAAAGTCGGGGGGGGGGAGTAACACCACTAGTTTATCGCACCGGGTGACAACCAATGTTCCCTTTAAGGTTTGCTGGTTCGTGTGCAAAATCATACAGTTGTGTGCAAAGTTTTACAGCATCGATTTTTTTTGTGTGCAAAATTTTACAGCCCACAAACACAAACACACACTTGCATGGAAATTTGCAGCGCGGATACTCAAAACTGCTGCGCGGTGTCTGTGAGATGGCTGCGCGGTCACGCTAGCTACGCCACTGGGTAGAAGTTCAGCTGCTTTGTCTGGTAGAAGTTCAACTGCTTTGTCTGGTAGAAGTTCAACTGCTTTGTCTGGTAGGAGTTCAGCTGCTTTGTCTGGTAGAAGTTCAACTGCTTTGTCTGGTAGAAGTTCAACTGCTTTGTCTGGTAGAAGTTCAACTGCTTTGTCTGGTAGAAGTTCAACTGCTTTGTCTGGTAGAAGTTCAGCTGCTTTGTCTGGTAGAAGTTCAAAAAGTTCGCATTCCTAATGTTCCGTCTTCTGCTCTACAGCCAACAGCGCGCGACTCTCAGATCCGAACGGATAATGGCGGCCTCAAAGTGCGACCTTTTCTACAGCTTCGGCCTGCTGTGCTGTGTGTCCGGAGTGATTCTCATGTTTGTCGGCGCGGGTACGGCCTACTGGATGATCAACAGCAATGGCCCAGAGTCTGTGGGACTTTTTGTGAGATGTAATTATGAGACGTGTATTCCTATCACGGCCAATGGTGAGAAAAAAAACAACAACAAAACATCTGTCAACCACTTGTGACCCCGGGACCTCTTGCGACACCGGGACCGCTTGTGGCTCATGGAATTAATAAGTTTTCCTGTTTTGTTTATTAAAATTTTATTTTTCTATTCATATAAAACGAGTGAATAAATAATTTAAATTGTCTGTTTCCAGTAGATACAATTTATTAAATGGGTCTTCGTCGAGTTAGGTGCTTGCATTTACAGTAGACAATTAAAAGAAAAGTCAATGCAAAAAGAGTGCGCCATGACGTCATGTTTACGTGTTTGTTTAGTAAAGTTTCTGTTTTGGATTCACTCCTCAGGTTTAGAGATAGATTTAGGGATACATTTTTTTAGTGGTTTAGTGTTCAGGTTAGGCTTAGGGATACATATGGGACATTTTGTCTTTAAATTTTAACATACTATTAGTAATTTGAGCAACCAAGATGGCGGCCGTGTGATACGCCATGGCGCATTCTCTTTGCATTTATTCAAATTTTTAATTGCACGTTTACTCGCTTAAAATAATAATTTTCAGCATATCCATGTTATAAATACACCGCTGAATGCAACGCCAAAAACACCAGGGGTTCTCAAGTTGTTTCTTTGATCTACAGACACAAATTTCGCCCCCCCCCCCCTACCCTTCAAAGATCCTGAAACTAATAAGCAGAATCTAGTTTCATTTCTATGAATGAAGTGTTGCTAAATGTAACAATGTAAATAATTTTCAGCATATCCATGTTATAAATACACCGCTGAATGCAACGCCAAAAACACCAGGGGTTCTCAAGTTGTTTCTTTGATCTACAGACACAAATTTCGCCCCCCCCCCCTACCATTCAAAGATGCTGAAACTGATAAGCAGAATCTAGTTTCATGTCTATGAATGAAGTGTTGCTAAATGTAACAATGTAAACAATCAAGACATATCTAATTGAATGAAATATTGCTAAAATATAAGAATGTAAACAAAGCCGTTCAACATCCACAGAGCAAGAGACTGCCACCAAGGCCGTCATGTCCACGGGGATTGTCCTAGGAGCCCTGGCCACAACTCTGGCCTTCACGTTCCTCATCAGGTTCACCAGCATCAGCCCCACCTCCAAGAGGATCCCATTCCTCAGCTGTCTTTTGTCTATGACAGGGGGTGAGTCTGCTTCTTAGGGACAATTGGTCTATGATAGGGGGTGAGTCTGTTTCTTAGGAATAATCGGTCTATGACAAGGGGTGAGTCTGCTTCTTAGAAATAATTGGTCTATGGCAGGAGGTGAGTCTGCTTCTTAGGAATAATTGGTCCATGACAGGTGGTGATTCTACTTCTTAGGAATAATTGGTCTATGACAAGGGGTGAGTCTGCTTCTTAGAAATAATTGGTCTATGGCAGGAGGTGAGTCTGCTTCTTAGGAATAATTGGTCCATGACAGGTGGCGATTCTGCTTCTTAGGAATAGGAATAATTGGTCTATGACAGGGGGGTGAGTCTGCTTCCTAATATTTGATTGTATTTTGTTAGAATTTACCTTCACGTATCTAACTTTTTTTAGGAATTACCTTAGACGTGAGTATATTTTGTTAGGAATTACGTTGACAAGACTGCTTTTTTAAAAATAGGAATTACCTAGACTTGACTATCTTTTGTTAAGAATTACCTTGACATTACTGTTTTTCTAGGAATAACCTTGACAAGACTTTGTTGTGTTAGGAATAATGTAACATGATTTTTTTTAGTACCCATTTTTTTTTTTTGCTGAAGGAAAAGCAACCTGTCTATTTCATCCCAACCGATAACAGGAACTTGGTCATCAAAGTTTCGCAGTTCAAGAATGAAATAAATTAGCGATCATATGCTAAGCTACAAGACCTTGCTGGAAAGTTGAAGACGATGGTGTTCTCTGACTTTTTTTCACACAGGAAATGCCTGGCTTAATGTATTACCTTTTCACCGCTAAAAAAAAACAAAACCAAACTAACACCATGCTTGCTTCATGGTTTTCTTAAGTTAACCAACACCAACAAGCGCCATTTCCTCTGTTTCAGGTCTGCTGGGCACGTCGGGCGTGTGCATCTACGCCGTGGGCATCTCCGACCCGTTCAACACCCGATTCGACTTCGTCTACAGCATGCAGTACGGCTACTCCTTCGCCCTGAGCATCGCCGGCTCCATCCTATTGTTCGTCTCCGGGGCCCTGACCTGGTTCGGTGCCTGCCGCATCGTGAAGGCATCCCAGCCTCGGTCCGGCCAGGAGCTGACCAACCGTGGACACTTGGTGGCCGTCGCCAACATGCGGGCGTCCACGGTGCATTTCGCGCCCTACTCCCTGGACGCCCCGCCGCGCTATGACACGATCTGCCAGGGGTATGGTATGCTAGGGTTCGACCCCAAACAGTTCCCTCCCCCTCCTGATTATTTCACTTCCCACCAAGGACCAGCGCCGCCGCCATACTCTGCCAACAGCAGTAGCTCGCACCCGACATCGGAGTTACCCGCCCCTACAGGAAACACCAAACACGATGGGGGCCAGACAATGCAAAGTCCCGCGACTCATGTTTCACTCACAGAAGCCGGAGAGTTATCAGATAAAACTGACAGTAGTCAGACATAGCCGTATCACGTGAAGTGTCTCGATGAACGCAAACACGCTTTTTGGCTTGTGTGTGTTCAATTGTGGACGAAGACCTGGCAACACATACACACAATCGAGAGATCTAACCAATCAAAATTTGTTTTTTTGTTTTTTTTTAAAAAGCAAGAAATATAATCCAGTAGTTTTCATTATCATTTCTCAAGTTGTCACTGCAAGCAGACTTCAAGTCTTTGCTGTGTCTTCACTGACTGGTGGGTTTAAATCGATGGACATTAACAAAACTTAGTTTGCTGTCGCGGGTTAACTACATCAAAGGTTAAACATTATGGGTTTAAGCCGCCGAGACTGGGGCTGTATATGGCGACTGTGTATGGCGAGACTGTGTATATCCGTGGTAACTTGTATGGCCACTTGCCGTAAATATGGTCCAGGTTAATTAACATATAAGAAAAAAAAAAGCAAATTTTCTTTGTACCTTTTTAGTTGCCATTTCATAAAGGCTTCCAAAACTATTAACATCAATTTGTTGCTTTATTTGAAAGATGTTGATAGATGGTGCCTTCAAGAGTTTCATCTGACTGCTGTCTGACTCCTGTTTGACTTCTTTCTGACTGCTGTCAAACTGCTGTCTGACTCCTGTCTGACTTTATGGAATGAACTATTTGTTTTTGCTCTGCTCGTATCACCAGAAATATCTTTGCGAGGATTATAGGAGCAAACAAATGGTCAAGGGAACTTATGACGTGCCCCAGTTCACTACGTACTCTCACACTGTTGAAAAGTCATTTGGTTTTATATTAAGTTTTACATGTGATGCATAGCTATACTTATGAATATATCATGTAATGGTCAACCCCCAGCCCACGACCCGGCTGAGACACTCAAGTTTGGTTAAGTTCCAGAGGACAATCTTAATATATATTTTGTTGATAAAGTTAATCGACCAAGTATAGGTTAAGTGGGATGTACAACATTGTTAGTGATTGGCCCGGTATAGGTACAACAGGACGTACAATAGTTTTAGTGAATGGCCCGGTATAGGTACAATAGGACGTACAATAGTGTTAGTGAATTGCCCAGTACAGATACAACAGGACGTACAATAGTTTTAGTGAATGGCGCGGTATAGGTACAACAGGACGTACAATAATTTTAGTGAATGGCCCAGTGTAGGTACAACCGGGCGTACAATAGTTTGAGTGAATGACTCGGTATAGGCACAACATTGCTTACTATTGTGTTAATGAAGCTTTCGCTACATTTGCCTATGGCCCCTTGTTTTTAAGGACACCTGCGGTCCCAACCGCTGGGACGATATAGAGCCATGGCCGCCACGTCTGAAACTTATCATTAAACTATTCGTTCTTATAGTTTCTAGAAAGTTGAAATATAATTGATCTTGCTATTTAAGAAATACAAATCATAATAGGAGCCCCCCCCTCCCCCCAATCTTCGCCCCCACTTTCTAGCCTTATGTTTGAAGTTGTATGAATATGTCATTATGTACATTCCTTGCGAGTTTGTGAGGCATTTAATGGAAGGTGATAGATCAAACAGAAGAGTTGTTTTATATTTTCTGTACACAAATCTCAACACCCTATATCAAGAGCTACCCATGACAAGGTAACGAATACATATCTTTCACCGTATGTACAAGTACTTGTATACAACCGAAATGCTCTTACTTATATACCGCTTAATGATCTTTGACTACAACATATCAATTAACATATTTCATCCTTTTCATTAAAAAAAAAATTTTGAATATTATTTTTAATGCTTGTTACCCATAAGATCAAGTAGATGCTGCAATGAAATCAAACAATTATATCCACTGGATATTTCGTTTATAACTTCCACAACTATTGATAATACAATTTATTCAATTTTAAATTTAAAAAAAACATGTTTCTAAATTTAAAAAAAAAAAAGAAAAGGAAATCAATCAAATATTAATGTTTAAAAAGGCAGATTGTATTTAATTAAAGAATTTTTTAGCGGATTTCACTCCAAGATTGTGTCTGGTGTCCTATGAAGATTAATCAGTTTTCCAGGCAGACTTATAATGCTGCGAACAAAATAAAAACAAAACAGTGACGGCACAGACTGACAGACAGACACGTTCATAAGGACTGCGGTATCCTGGACTGATGTTGATACTGATAGGTAGAATCAGTGACGTGGGCATGGACGCGCCTGGGCACACAACAGCTCTATTGATTTTCTGAAGACTACAAAAGTCCCTGAGGTGATCGAGTTTCCTCATTAAGTAGGTCAGCTGACGGTCTTTTCTTTTCTTTTTGTTTTTTCCCTCCTGGATGCGTTGAAGATATGAAGAACATTTTCTTAATGCAGCTTTAGTTTAACAACGTGTTTCATGTTTTGTATTATTATAATATGAAAGTACTCTGGTCTTCCTTTGTGGTCACATGCCCTCCACCCCCCGCCCCCGGTTCCGTCACAGTGTCTTCATGTCATCTATGCATTTCGGAGAATCTGTTTATTCTTGTTTCATAATAAATGATGTGTACATAAATTCTATCATTAAGACAACAAAACATGTAAACACATATTATAATTATTTTATTGGTGTACACATTTTTTCAGAAACATTCATCTTTGATATGATTTTACTAAACAAGAAATAAAAGAAGTTAAATTTAAAGAAGAAATTGTTTATTCAATTTTTGTTTGTTCGAGAAGCTTCCCAGGTCTCTTCTATTTTAAAGCACTAAAAGGACGCATAACCTATATTGGTTGGTTGAATTCGCAATCCATAGGGCCAGATATCAGTACACACGTTTCGTTTAGAGATGTGCAGAGCAGTTTCAAATGTTGGGACTTTGTTGCCAACATAGGACCCGTTGGCCGTAACCTCTAGGCTGTAACCTGTGGGCCGTAACCTGTGGGCAGTAACCTGTGGGCTGTAACCTGTGGGCAGTAACCTGTAGGCTGTAACCTGTGGGCAGTAACCTGTAGGCAGTAACCTGTAGGCCGTAACCTGTGGGTAGTAACATGGAGGCTGTAACCTGTGGGCAGTTACCTGTAGGCTGTAACCTGTGGGCAGTAACATGGAGGCTGTAACCTGTAGGCTGTAACCTGTGGGCAGTAAACTGTAGGCTGTAATCTGTAGACAGTAACCTGTAGGCTGTAACCTGTAACACACCCCAGGGATCATCCATAAAAGACCACACGCAATTTTGGCCGATATTTGATCACCCGTACCATTTTATCCAGAAAAAAAAAAAAAAATGTAGACACCCTAGTAATCGTTTTCGGAAATTTGATCGAAAGAAATTTCGACGACGGTAAATTGATCGACGGTAAATTTGATCGAACGGAGATTAGGTCGAATCTTTTTTTCAATTTTTACGTTAACATTTGGCTTCAAATTTCTTTTTGAACGCATTTTTTTGTTTTACTACATTGTATAGTGTGTTCAAAAAGAAATCTGATGAAAATTTTAACGTGTGAACTGAAAAAAAAAAGTTTCGACCAAATTTCCGTTCGATGAAATTTCCCTCGATCAGTTTACCGTGGACGAAATTTCGTTCTATTAAATTTCCGGTAACCCCTAGTAACATATCATCACCATTTTGGCACCCCCGCCCGCGGTCTCCCCTTCTTTCCCCATCAAACGTTAGATTCCACTTCAACAGCGTAAGTGAAAGTTATAGGACAATTACATAAACTGAAACACAATGACGTAAGTGAAAGTTATAGGACAATTACATAAACTGAAACACAATGACGTACACGATTAATCCAGTAAATTTTCGCATCCATTTAAAACAAATGAAGATTGGGGAAAACGTTGTCCAAGAGCAAGTAAATTGCGTCAGTGAATTTAAGGGTGTTCAATTCAGTGTTAATTCTTAATTGATATTTCAGTGATAGGATCACTCCTCCCCCTTCCCCCCCCCCCCCCCCCCCCCCCCCCCCCCCAAACCTCATCCCGGTTGTAGCGTGAAACACTACCAAGTGAAATTCAGACTCAAGATGCCTACTTTGTTTTTTTTTAAAGGGACGATTAGGAACAGCCATGTCCTATGTTTGTTTACGGTGGTGTGACGTCCTGTACCCCTCTTTAGTCACGTCCACCCGAGCACCCTCTCCTCCAACCCCACCCCCTCCCCTCCCAACTTTTGCCCCCACAGAGACTCGTTAAGCTCCACTGATAAGCTATAAATAGCTTAGCCTAGTCGCCGGGGACACCGGCGTCATACGGGGCAGGCAGTCTCCTTTCTTCCAGACCAGCCAATAGTGTGGCCTCACTAGGACTGTGTTTGAGGTGTGTTTCCACTTCCAGTCGTTCGTTCTGGGATACTTCCATGGTCGGTTGACCTTTTTTGAGGATACAATCCTATCAGGGTTAGTTGATGTTAAATAAATAAAAATACTGTACACCACGTCCTTTGTTAAACTATGACGTTTCAAGAGTTACTCTCTAATTCTCAGTTTCATTCAATCATATCCGATTTTTCCCCAAATACCATTCCAAATGTATTTGTTAATGATAATAATACACTTCCGGGCTAATGTGAAGAGATAGCACCCTGACGTCATTTGCATGTTTTGTCCCTGGTTCCGATAGAGTCATTGCTGGTCTGTGAACTGGATTGTAATCTATGTATTGACGGAGCAGTCACTTTGACTTCTAATGACTGACGTTAAGGACTGAACACGAACATTTGGAGTCTTAGCAGATGTCTTCTCTCGGGAATATCGAGTCTTAGCAGATATCGTATCTCAGGAGCATCGAGTCTTAGCTGACATCTTATCTCAGGAGCATCGAGTCTTAGCTGATATCTTATCTCAGGAACATTGAGTACATTGAGTGGTAGATATCTCATCTCAGGAACATTGAGTCTCAGCTGATATCTTATCTCAGTAACATTGAGCCTTACCTGAGATCTTCTCTCAGGAACATCGAGCCTTAGCTGATATCTTAATCTCAGGAACATTGAGTCTTAGCTGATACCTTATCTCAGGAGCATTAAGTCTTAGCTGATATCTTCTCTGAGGAACATTGAGTCTTAGCAGTTATTAAAAAAAAGTCCAGTGAGTTTTCATTGCTATGGAAGCAATATTACCGCATTGTAATAAGCACATTTTAAAAATATTTCAACCTGAGAACCCGACTCTTAGAATCCGCCTATTTCACCTCTTACCGAAAATTTTATATACATGTATCTTTAAAAAAAAAAAAATTCACCGGCTTAGAGAGTCTTGAAACAATTACAACTCATTCAGCTTTTGGACAACTGTCCTACTTAGTGATCCGTGACTTCCGTTATGTCCAGCACGAGTAGCACACAAAACGATCATTTCATTTCAAGTCAAGATAACATTTAATCGATCTTCAACTCCACCATCAATCCATTTTTTGTTTTGTTTACAACCTTTTCCAATAAATCTGTTCAGTCCTCCATCCTTTAGCACTGTTCATTTATAGGTATGAACAATAAGTTATAGTATTTACCCCGGGTCTACTTCCCATGATAACACATTGACTTGTCAGTTGTTAGGTTTGCAAGAGTCAAGAGGGATTTTTATGGGTATTCTAACCTTTGCCTTTAATTTATTTTATAGCATATTTTTTTTATGCGTGTTGAAAATACAGAGCTCCGCTTTAGTGTTCACCTCTTAACTTACTTCTAGGCACAACTTTTTTTTGTTGTAGTAACGTCATTGTATGTTACTCTTAACACCAAATGGTACACACTACACGGCTGTAGAGATGATTAATCAATACTGAATACCTGGTCGTGATTCGGCAGCCAATGGCTAACAGGCAGGCCTTTGCTACCGGCTGTCTGTTGTTGATGGTGGAAGTGCTTTTATTTGGTTGTACATGCTGTTCTCGTGGTGCACATTACCTGCTGTTCGAAGGATGTTCAGTGCTGGCTGTTCTAATGATTTACTGTACATGCTGTCCTAGTGGTGTCCAGTCCAGGCTGTTCTAATGGTAACGTTTATAGGCCTAAAAGGTGTACAAATGGGGTTTAGTGCTAATTGTTCTAATGGCGTACAGTAAATGGAATTCAAATTATACACAGTATATGTTTTACAAGGTTTACAGTACAGTCAATGCTGTTTTAATGGTGCTCATTGCATGCTTTTCTAATGATGTTCAGTGCAGGCTGTTTTAGTTGTGAAGTATCTTTTGCTCTAAGACCTAAGGAGATCACAAGCTTAGCGTTGCTTAGATAAAGATGCACACAATGAGCAATGTATAACGCAACTATTTAGATGGTCTAGTTCCAGTCAACGTACAGTCTGGTAGGAGAAGGGATACAATGGAAAAGGTTTACTTGATTGATGTCCCTTGCCTCCCGTCTCGGGGAACTCGCATTTGTAGTCGTTTTAACTTATTAGACACAGGCAAGACACAAGCAAAGACACCTGCTAACAGCACCGTAATTTTATCAGTCAGTAAACTCGCGTCCAATACCATAATATATTTTTTAAAAAACCTTGACCCTGAAACTAGCCATCCTGACAGAACTAAGACCAACGATGACAGGAAACTGCCAATATATATATATATATATATATATATTATATATTAAGCATCCATTAAGGCGAGTTAGCAGTGGCGTATACGTACATAAGTATCTAATTCTTTGTAGTTAAAAATACAACTGGCTTTTGACTTCTGCCTTCAAATGAAATCGTTGGGCTACTTTTCTGTTGAAAAGAGAATGGATTCAAACAATCACAATAATTTTTCTTTGCTCTGGTAATCAACTTGGCTCTTGGCAATCAACTTGGCTCTGGTAATCAACTTGGCTCTGGCAATCAACTTGGCTCTGGCAATTAACTTGGCTCTGGTTATCAACTTGGCTCTGGCAATCAACTTGGCTCTGGCAATTAACTTGGCTCTGGCAATCAACTTGGCTCTGGCAAACAACATTTTTTGCACTATCGATTCCTATTTGTTTATTATTTTGTCTCTAAAAGGAAAATTGTTAAAAGTGGGATTTGAACTCACGCCGTCATTGTCTATTTAGCACTGTTTATGTTTTCCAAGTGCTATTAAGATACAACATGAAATGGCGTCAGTGGGCTGTCGAGCGCGTACCAAGCTCGTTAATTCCCTCCCCAAAGCACCTTTCCCCCAGCCCAAATATCGGGCCGCGTAGCGGCACATTGGAAATCGCCCTTTGTCAGCCCCCACTCGCATACGCTCGATCGGATTTACCATTGGGAGGCCTCCCTAAACCAAGGACATCCGGTCGGCCGAACGCTGCATTCACGGTCGACTTTCCTACAGGGGTCGGGATGGTACATTCACGTCCTAATATCTTCCCTCTCCCACCTCGGGGAAGCGTCGGACGCCCTCCTAGGTGACGAAGCAACTGGGACGAAGGGCCAAGATTCGCTATATGATTCTACTGCAAACTTTGTCGCGCCCAGTAGTACATACAACAACAAATTCAGGTTTGAGTTGTTGATGGTACTTATTTGGAGTTGTACAATTGTCTTAGACACTCTAAGAAACAGTGGCTCAATAATATTTTTGGATGGTGACTGATAGAACCGATTTCTTTTGGTATCCAGCTGAGGCCATTTGCTTTCGTTAATAGTTCGTGCGTTTGAGTTAGGGCCGATACAGCTTTAAGTCTATCGTCAACACACATATCAATAGCTCAACCGGCTTTGTACTTCAATAAACAATCTTCTCTGGGATATGTCTTCGATGTTTGTAGCCACCCGAGAGGGAGAAACAAAGGAATTGCTCTTCCTTCAGTGTATCCGTTGCCCCAGCAACCGGATATGTTCTGTAATTTCTTTACAAGCAAAGTTGCTGATATTCGCGCTGAGCTTGATCGTCTTGACATGTCCCCACTAGATTTGCCTCCTTTTCCCTGTGTTAGTTCACATTTTCAAGTTTTTAAACCGGTTTTAGAACAAGAGGTCAAAAGTGTTATTGTGCAATCTAAACCTACGTCATGTTCTTTCGACCCCCCCCCCCCCCCCCCCCCCCCCCCCCCTGTTGGTTGAGTCATTAGATCATTAGCTGCCAACGATAACCTACAAATCAATGGAAGCTTATCTTCCCTGTCACTGTTTCCCTCTTTGTAAGTAAGCTGTCATCAGACCATTGCAAAGAAACCTGTTTCGAATGAAAATAATTTAAAAAAACTATAGACCTGTATCTGACTTATCATTCTTATCTAAAGTCATTAAAAACTGGCTCTAAAAGAACTTTTTACTTACTTAAACGACCACTCTCTTCTCAGTCTTAATCTGTCGGCCTATAGACCTTTCCATAGAACTGAGACAGCTCTCTTGAGAGTCACCTATGACCTCTTGCTCGCATTGGACAGCGGTGATATCCCCATCCTGATCCTCTTAGACGTCAGTGCGGCCTTTGACACTGTTGACCATAAAACCCGTGAAAATAACTTTGCAATTTCGGGATCAGTTTTGGCTTGGTTTAGGTCCTACCTCTCCGATATAATGCAGGCGGTCGCTGTCGATGGCTGCCTCTCCGGCAGTGCTGACTTGGTGTACTGAGTGACAAAAGGGTCCGTTTTACGCCCGGTTCTATTCACAATGTGTACCAGGCCACTGCTTGTCTTGCTCGGGAGGCATGCTGCGGAGAGCCAGTCATTCGCAGATGACACGCAGCTATACAAGCATACCCATTCCTCTCGTGTTGATTCTGCTGTCCGGACTTTGCGGGAGAGCATTGATGATGTTAAGACATGGATGACACTCAGCAAGTTGAAGCTTAACGATGACAAAACGGAAGCACTCCTTATTCACGATCACAAATCATCCTCTAACTCACCTCTCCCCACTTCATTTCATGTAGGTAACTCCGACATACAGTTTACATTCTCCGCTAGGAATCTTGGTTATATTCTGTCTAACAACATGTCTATCGATAATAATATCTCTGCATACACCGCTATTCGCCAGATTAGCTCCATCCACCGCTACCTCACAGTTAGCGCAACAAAAACCGTAGTTTGTGCTCTAGTTATCTCTTGTCTTGACTATTGTAACCCTTTTCTATCAGGTTTACCAGAACACTTCTTACAAAAATTACAAAAGGTTCAAAACTCAGCTGCTAAGCTAATTATAAAGCAAAATCAGTGACCACGTCACACCACTACTTCATTCACTTCATCGACAAATTTTTTCTGGAACTCCTCCCCTTCCTATCTAACCGCACTTCTCTCTGTCTATTCATCCCTCCGACAGCTTCGCTCCTTCGCAGACGCGCGTATTCTTTCTATCCCCAAGACTCGCACAAAAACATACGGTGAACGATCGTTCTCTTTCTGTGCCCCCAAACAATGGAATTCTCTTGCACTACACATTCGCAATATACCGACCATCACAGCCTCCGAAAACTGCACTCAAAACACATCTCTTTAAACGTTACTATCCTGACCTATACCCCCCCCCCCTCCCCTTTTCCTCTGACCGATAAACGATGCTGCTGGGTGCAATCCATGGCTTGACATGTAAATGGTTCTGGAATGAGTGGCGTGAATATACCTTTGTTTTCTTTTATTTAATTAAAGGACGTTAACTTTTAAGTTCATGATTATGTTTGTTAAATTGTATGTACAGCGTGGTGAGCCCAGCCCTAGGCTTGGGGTACCGCGCTAAAGAAAACCGCCACTAATAATAACAATATCTATGTGGTGTCTATGTACATCTCTATATCGTGTCTCGATATTTGAATATATAATACACTCTTTCTAGTTTCTTTATTGCATCAGTACGTGTTTGAATGTGCCCGATTGACTGCATGTTGCAATCTTGGCTTTATGTTTATAATTCATTTTTATGTGCCCAAGCTATTCATGTACAGCACACTGTTTTCGAGGACCATTAACATTGCTTGCCATATCTTTCATGGCTTTACTAAGGACGAGCACCATAAAACTGGTTCTTAGTTCGCTTAGATCGCTTAGTTTTTGTTTAAAGATCTTTTAGTTTGTTATTAAAGATAATTTAGTTTGTTCAAAAAAGATAGCTAAGTTTTTTCTTAAACATCCCTTAGTTTGTGTTATTAAAAGATCGTTTAGTTTGTTCATAAAGATCGCTTAGTTGTTCTTAAAGATCATTCAATTTGTTCTTAAAGATCATTTTGTTTGTTTTATAGATCTTTTAGCTTGTTATTAAAATCGTTTAGTTTGTTCTTAAAGATCACTTATTTTGGTGTTGAAGATCGCTTAGTTTTTTCATAATGATCGCTTAGTTTGTTCTTATAGATTATTGACTTTGTTCCCTAAGATCGATTAGTTTGTTCTTAAAGATCTTTTAGTTTGTTCCTAAAGAACATTTATTTTTCTGTTAAAGATCGCTTAGTTTATTCTTATAAATTATTTAGTTTACTATTAAAGATCATTTGTTTTGTTCTTAAAGATCATTTAGTTCGTTCTTAAAAATCACTTAATTTTTTCTTTAAGATCATTTAGTTTTTTTTTTATTGAAGATCGCTTAGATTGTTCTTAAAGATCTCTTAGTTTTTTTAAAAGATCGTTTAGTTTGTTCTTAAATGTCGCTTAGTTTGTTGTTAACTATCGTTTAGTTTGTTCTCAAACCGGGGTGGTAAGGGGGGACTTTAGAGACGTTAAATATCCACCCCAACCCCTTAGAAAGTCCGGCCCTGTTGCTGCGTGAGCAGCAATCCGGCTGGCCAGGTGTTTCTTCTCTGGGGCTGCCACGCTCGGCGGCCAATCGAGTGGAGGTCGAGTGTGGCGGTCTTAGGGGCGGAGCGTCCCTGGCGTGCCGCTTCGCGGCCCGATCGGAATAAAGACCACTGGGGGAGTGGTTGACGGCCGGTTTGGTTGGCGGGGTGGTGCGTTGGGGAGGACCATATGAGCCTCAAGGCTCGGTGTTCGCTGATTTTCTTAAGTTAGTTAGTTAGTTTGTTCTCAAAGATCGTTTAATTTGTTCTTAAAGATCGCTTTATTTGTTTTTAAAGATCTCTTCATTTGTTTTTAAAGATCGTTTAGTTTGTTCTTAAAGATTGTTTAGTTTGTTCGTTAATGTCGCTTAGTTTGTTGTTAAATATCGCTTTCGCTGAGTATTAGATGACCGAAAAACCTCAGTCACTTTCGGCCAGATGGCCGAAAGTCTAAGTCAATTTCGACCGAAACCGAAAAAAAACGAAAGTTAACTTTTCTCTTTCGGTCGAAACCGGAATTAAGCCGAAAGTTAACTTTTCAATTTCGGCCGAAACCGGAATTAAGCCGAGAGTTAACTTTCAGTTTCTGCCAAAACCGAAACTTGGCCGAAATGGATAAACTGGCCTTTTTCGGCGCCAAAACCGAAGCCGAACCGAAATTCGGTCGGTCTCTAATGGTTTTAGCCTATCTGAGGGAGGGAGGGAGGGAGGAAGGCACAAGAGTAATTAATGGAGATTCTTGGAACGGTCTTATCAGCAGCAGTCATCATGACAACCAACTGACTGCTGTAACAATTCATTGCGACATATCAATCAATACCTTTTACGACACTAACATGGTGGCCGATTTGTCGAGGAATGATCATGGCAGTTAGTAGGTTTAAACAAATTAGGTCTTGATGGCATAATTATGGCCAGTGAGTTGGCATGTTTCCAGGAACCTGGTGGATGCTTGTAAGATGGTAGTTTCACTCTGTGAGCAGATGCAACTTGGTATGTTGGCTTGGTAAGTCATAATGCAACTTGGTATGTTGACTTGGTAAGTCATAATGCAATTTGGTATGTTGACTTGGTAAGTTATAATGTAACTTGGTATGTTGACTTGGTAAGTCATAATGAAACTTGGTATGTTGACTTGGTATGTCATAATTCAACTTGGAATGTTGAATTGGTAAGTCATAATGTAAATTGGTATGTTGACTTGGTAAGTCATAATTCAACTTGGAATGTTGACTTGGTAAGTTATAATGTAACTTGGTATGTTGACTTGTTAAGTCATAATGTAACTTGGTATGTGGACTTATATTGTAGTCATATGTAAATTGACATGCTGACATTGCAGTCAAATATAAATTGGTATGTATAGAAACCTTGCAATCATATGTAAATTGGTAAATTAAACTTGCAAGCATATGTGAATTGGTATTTTCACCGTGCAGTCATATATAAATGGGTGTGTCGACCTTGCAGTCATGTTAAATGGATGTTATTCAATGAATGCCATCAACATTGCTATTCAGTGTTTAAGCATTTCATTTAAAAAGAAACAACTCAACTGCACCAGTAGCTTTGAACCATTCCCCTGTTCTAAAATAGTTGTTTTTGGATTCATTGTTTTCACTCTTAATCAAATCGAACGCAGAATTTAGCAGCCGCCAGCTATTCGAACAATGTACAGGTAAAATAAATGGACACAAAGTTTAAAAAAAAAAGAAAAAGAAATATAAAAACAAGTACCATACTATAAATCCACATAAATGAAACAATCACCCATGTCTATGCTTGTCTACCTTTTAAAACACTTAGTCTTGTCTCCCATGTCTGCGCTTGTCCACCTTTTTAAACACGTCTCCCATGTCTATGCTTGTCTACCTTTCTAAAACACATGTCTCCCATGTCTATGCTTGTCTACCTTTCTAAAACACATGTCTCCCATGTCTATGCTTGTCTACACAGGACGTCACTTCTAAACCTTTTATCGATTAAAAAAAATCAATACAATTTTTTGTTTACCGGTAAATAACAAAATAGAGTGCTTTGTTTAAAATGAATTGTTATCAAACTTTGTTTACTCAGAGATTTAAATGTCTCGTTAGTTTACTGTGATACAACCTAGACGGGAAGAGATGAGTTTTATGTACCAGAGATTTGTATTATGTACCAGCGTTTGTATTATTTACCATAGATTTGTATTATGTACCAGAGATGTGTAAGTCTCATTATATTATTGGGTCACAGCCTAGACGGGGAAGAGATGAGGTTTATGTCAGAGCTGACAAGTGGGAAGTTAGAACTGGACTTGTTTGGCTGGAGATGAAACACGTGTATGGGTTGGACAATACAGAGAGAGGAAAAAACGATTAAATGTGACTAGTCTGATCAGTCGGTTTAATTTATAACCTTTAATCTCCACAGCTTGAGGGGATCAATGTCCAGTGAATGCCATGGCCGTGATAACCTGTGACCCTTTCTACTGGTGCGGTCTCCTGGGCTACGGTGTCGGCATCCTGTTTATGATCGTCGGAACTGGCACCACCCACTGGCTGATCGACAGCAACGGGCCCGGTACTGGAGGTTTATTCTGGATGTGTCAGTCAAGTGACCACTGCATGTCCATCACGTCCAACGGTGAGTGCTACTATGGGGACAAGACACTGACCGTTTAATCACGTGACCCGTTGGACCCATTCGATAAATTATTCGCTTAAAACCTGACCGATGTTTGCAGTCGTTTAGATGGTTAAGTCACAAAATTGCGCATTTTCATCATCCGTTACATTTTTGGATTTATTTGTTTGAGATATGCGATAGTTAATGTCGCTGGACAACGCAACTTTGCCATGTGGTTTTAGCAAGTACAATGTCCTCGGATCAATGGCATCATGTGTTGGAGAATTGATGTTGGAGGTGGGGGGGGGGCAGTTAATAATTGGATCGTTGGGAAGTATGAGGTCCCTTCATCACTGGCTGTAAGTGAGCAAGTTAGAGGGAAGTTCTGTGTTAATTAAGGTAAATGGAAGTTCTATGTTAAATAATATAATGCAACGATTCATCAGGGGCGAGGCGACCTTCTCCACCAATGACACTTCCACCAATGTTGCTTCCACCAATGTTGCTTCCACCAATGTTGCTTCCACCAATGTCACTTCCACCAATGTTGCTTCCACCAATGATACTTCCGACAATGCTACTTCCCCGATGTTATTTCCACGAATGACAATTCCAATAATGTCACTTCCACCATTGATACTTACACCAATAACACTGCCACCAATGACCCTTCAACTAATGACACCCGCTAAATGAAACTTCCGCCAACGCCACTTCCACCAATGCCACTTCCACCAGTCCACTTCCACCAAATGTCACTTCCGCTAATGCCACTTCCCCTCAATGCCACTTCCACCAATGCCACTTTCACCAATGGCAATTCTACCAATGTCATTTCAACTAATGCCACTTCCACCAATGCCAATTCCACCAATCCACTTCCACCAATGCAACTTCCACCAATGCCACTTCCACCAATGCCACTTCCACCAATGCCACTTCCAGCAATGCCACTTCCACAATGCGAATTCCACAAATGCCACTTCCGCTAACGTTACTTCCGCCAGGATCACTTCCAACAATGACCCACTGAGTTCAGTGGCCTTATCTCTGTTTGCCTATTGCAGATAATGAATCTACCGTCCAAGCCCTGCTCATCTCTGGTATCGTTGTGGCAGCTTTAGCCCTGGCAATGGCGTTGATGTTCTTGCTAAAAACTCCTTCTGGAGCTCCAAGGAGTAAAAATCTGGCCCATCTCAGCTGGGTTATGGCCATGGTTGCCGGTAAGAAGGAAATGAGTTGATCGACATTTATAAATTCACAAGTATTCTAGTGATGATCATTCCCAAACTAATGCATTTTTATTAATTTTATGTATTTATTTTATTATTGTTATTTTTTAAGGACAGCGCTACTAACTAAATCCTGACCCCCCCCCCACCTTTGTTTAGCCGCTAGTTCACTGGAGTTTCATTTCTATAAGTATAATGAAGTCGTTGTCCTGCTTCCCAGGTTTGCTTGGGATCATCGGAGCCGGCTATTACGGCGTCAACATCTTCAGCGTTATCAAAATGCGCCTCAGGCCCGTGACGGACATCGAGCTCGGCTACTCCTTCGCCTTGAACTTGGCCGGATCCATCCTGCTCTTCTTCTCCGGCATGTCCATCTGGACTGGGGCCTCGAGGATAATCAACGGATCTCTGCCCCACTCCCAGGGACTCGGCTTTGGCTCGGACGCCAACATAATGACCATCTCCGACGCCCGCTTAGGCAACACCAACGGGGGGTACTGCTACCCGCCCCCGCACTACAGCACCGTGTGCCAGCCCTACTACCCGGCAGAGTTCGACCCGAAGCAGGTGCCGCCCCCGACCTATGACGAGCTTCAACTTCAGGGGACGCTACCGCCGGCGTACTCGTCTCAGTACGTTTCTCAGAGTTTGTCTCCCGTAACGCACGCCTCGAAGCGGGAAGACGTACCGCAAGGGCAGCAACCCCCGCCTTATCACCCTCCATCTCACAGCCGCGTGGAGTTACCTCCCCCTCCCCAGTATAACCCAACGTAGTGCTTACCAATAATCGGCGGACTTACTTGACGCTATCATGGAGATAATTCCCATGCAAGTCGAAAAACTATTTGAAAAAAAAGTTATTGTAATCTACGAAAAAAAAAAAAAACAAAAAAAAAAAAAAAAAATATTCCCATGCAAGTCAAAAAACTATTTAAAAAAAAAGTTATTGTAATCAACGAAAAAAAAAAAAAGAAAAAAAAAAAAAAAAAAGAAAGGAATTCGGAGTTTATTTTCTGATCGATGTTTTGAAGATATCCCATTGGCTACATTTTAAATTTATGGTCTTCTGCATTAACTGCTAAATGTTAAATCTCTGAGTTTAGCTACTCAATTGAATAAGGCATAAAGGGAACAATAGACTTGTGGGAGCGGATGCCAGCGGATGCCAGCGAACACCTCCCTCAACTTTGCCTGGACTTCAATCATGTTTATGTAAATCAGGCTCTCCATCGGTTTGCTAAAATATTGTATGTACCCATTCACCCTGCCCTCCCCTCGCAATCCTATGGATAACTCCTAGATCCGCCTCTGCACCCTGTATAGCAAATGTATATGTACTGCAAATATCCATGCTAAAGTTTGCAAGAACAGTTTATGGCCATTCCCTAATGTAACGAGTGCCGACAAAAGGTAACATAATACTATTTAAACATACGCCTGGGCATATGAGGACATGTAGGACATAGGATTATTGCGCTGGTGGAAGTTGAGCTGCGACACTGCGGAAGGCTTTAGATGCGTGACACATAATGGTCCGGTACAAAGAAATGGCACCACCCTAATGGTCAGCGTTGTTGACCTCTTCTAGCTGAGCGTTATGAGCCTCAAACAATGCCTGGGCTGTGCAGCATTGGACATACATTTTAACAACCAGTTGATGTAAATACAATCACATTTGATGTGTGTTAATTAATTTACCCAGAACATATCTTTTCTTATTTCAGCGGAAAAAAAGGGGGGGGGGGGTTTAAAATGACATTAAAAGTTTTTTTGTTTTTGTTTTTTTGAANGTTCCAATTTCGAAACCTTTGCATATCAATTCACAAAAGTTTTGTCGCAATGTGATCAATGGTAGAAATGCATATGGAAATTATATTTATATCGCTTATATAAGAAAAAAACGAATGTAGGGCCACCGGTCACAAAAGGAAAATTGTAGAATTGTTGCACTAATTGATAACCGTTCCTACAAAGTCACATACAGAAACGCTTTATGTATTTGATTAAATTCCATCCACGAATGCATTAGTTCTGTTTAAAATTTTAGTTATGCAGTTCATTTAAGAATAAAACAAATTTTTGGGCCACTGGCATGAAAAGAATTTCTTTGAAATGGTTGAAATAATTCAGATACTTATTCGGACATACCCACAGCAACTAACCAAAGTTTTTCCTCAATCCAATAAACAGCGTAGGAACACATACGGAAAATATACTTACATTGCTCAATTAGGAAAAAAACAAATTTAGGGCCGCTGCACAAACGGAATATTTTAAAGGACTTGTAATGACTAACAAAAATGACAACCCACCTAAGGAGTTTTTATGTTTGTTTGTTGTATTTTAGTTTTTTCTTTCTTTTTTTTTCTTTTTTTTTTTTTTTTTTTTTTTTTACTGTAACACCTCTATTTCTTTAATTTTCAATTCCTTGTACATATAAGAATGATATGTTTTTGCGGAATTCAATCTCATAAATTGTAAAGAGCTACATTATTAATCGTTAGGTACCGGTACACGACACCAGCAAACAACCGAAAGATAACTTTCGTAAAGTTCTGTGTATAATTCGTGGCGTGATTTTGAAGTCAAGTTTTTATGGTGAATGATTATCTCAGGCTTTACTTTGCTTACTTTAACATAAACGTGTGTGTTGTTGGAATGAAACGAAGTACCGGTAATTAAAACACACGTTAGATGAGACAGCTTGACTTCGGTTACAATTCAATTTGTAAACAAGCTGTAAGCCAGTTTTCAAAATAAAATGAAAGCAAAAAAAGAAAAAAAAAAAATTAAAATAAATTAAAATGTTATTATGTGTGCCCGTTTTTTAAATTATTGTTTTGGTTTCTTATTAAAATTAGTGAAATATTAGTGAAATTTTGGTGAGAACACAGATCATAAGAAATATTTCTAGCCGTGTTCTTGATGAGATCACTGATTGGGTGATTTTGTTTTCATAAGCCACGGAATGCCAACAGGGTCATATCAACACGTTATGACTATAGCACGTGTTACAGAATATGGTGCGCTGACTTGGTCATGTCTCTGTACTGCATGCATTAAGTACCGGGTGCCAATACTAATATGTGCAGAGATTTGACAAACCTGTACTACCTGACATGGATTTACTTGCTTCAAGTCTGCAAAGAATCGACCAGTGTCACGTTTGGTAGATTTTTCTGCATACACGACACAATAATTTGCTTTTGATACGCTCTGATTAAAAAATTCAAATTAATTAATAATAAAATTAATTATATCACGTTCGTTGCATTTTTTATGGTTTGATTTCATCTCCTCGGCATTCAGTGTGACCTGTTTTATATTTATTTTTCACTTATGGTTAAGACAATTCCTTTCAATAAAAGTTGTGTAGAATTAATGAAGGAATTCAGCCCAATGCGTCTAGTTAAGTGGTTCTCAAACCTTCCTAATGCCGCGACCCTTTAATACAACTCCTTATGTGCTGGTGACCCCCAATCACAAAATTATTTTCGTTGCTACTTCATAGCTGTAGAGTATATGTGTTTTCCGATGGTCATAGGCGACCCCTGTGATAGGGTCGTTGGATCGTACCAGGTGTCCACTGTTAGAGCGAATAGTCCGCTTGTTTCACATTGTGTTCACTATTTTTTTTCTTCACAAAATAAAGGACTTTTTTTAACTACCCCCCCACCCCCTCCCCCACCCCACCCCCTCCGCCTGTCCGCTATTTTTTGGAAGCAGACCTGACAACCCTAAGTTGAACCCCCAAAGGGGCCGCGACCCACAGTTTGAGAACCGCTGGTCTAGTTCATCCGTTTGTTACATAGAGGGGAAGAAATATTAGTCACGTGTGTAAATTACATAACATTGACTCTCAACTTGTTAATTAGGGACTCTTTTCTTTATATAATCAACATAACGGGGGATTTTTAAAAAATAAAATTTTGTTGTTACATACATATTGGATTTTAGACTTTATTTTATTTTGATTAATTGTTTATTATTATAATTATCATTATTCCTGAAGTGTCAAAGTTTTAATTAAACAATCTGAAATTGATGAGGTATGCAGCCCCATCATCTTTACCTAATTTGAACAAGCCATATGGATTGCTATGTTCATTTCGAACTGGATACTATTGAAGATGACCCAAGGGTAGTAGTAGTGGGTGGAAATTCAACACACACTGCCCCCCCCCCCACACACACGGATTAACACCTGGCTATCAAATCAAATAAAAAAAAATAATAATAATACAAATTTCGACATCTTTTGTTTAAACACACCATTTTGGTTTTGATAAATCCGATTATGCTTGATGTTAAACTCGTAATGACATTTGGTCTCAATACCCCGGCTGAGAAGAGTGTTTTGATAAAGCATGTTTAGAAACAGACTGAGATGACTAGATCACAGCTGTAACATTAAATTGGAGATCTAGCTGGTTTTAATTATAACAAAAACAAAACAAAAACTCTTAAGGTAATTTGTCCGGTCAACTGGAGACTGGAGACCCTGTCGGGAAAATACACAGGGTGGCCATGGTCGGGGTGGGGGGGAATCCCGAAAATCTGTGGTGTTTGGTCGGGTGTTTGATTCGAGGAAGTGAAATCTCGGGTGCTCTAAGTGTGCCGCGAAATATGGGGTGCTCTCCTATATGTGCCGCGAAATCTCGGGGGTTCTGTGTGTGCCTCGAAGTATGGGGTGCTCTGTGTGTGCCGCGAAATCTCGGGGGTTCTCCTGTGTGTGACGGCAGAGAGACAAGTGGCCAAAAATAGTGTCTTCCCAACCTATCCCCATTGACTTTTGTTCTCGATTTCATTGCAAGATATTTGTGTTGCGGTGTGTATTTTAAGCAACGCCCGCAAAGGTTGACCAGCTCTTTATTCAAAAGATGAAACAACAAATATGCAGTCTAATATTTTAATTAAGTAAAAGATTCTTAAAGTACACATTAATTTCGTCCTCAAAGTTTCCCCCTCGAAATATGAATCAAATGCAAACAGCAACATAACTAGTGAACATGTGGGGGGGGGGGCGTAGGGGTGGGGGTACTTCAACTTGGCATTTCTCCCCCATCAAGGTAATCTGCAGAAATGTCAACGCCGGACAGTTTGGCTTCATAGCGTAAGGTGTTAGAAAAAGATGCGGTGGTGGCTATGGGTTGTGTGTGTTTAGTGGGGGCAGAAGGGGTGGTGGTGGCTATGGGTTGTATGTGGGGTGGGGGACTTCAACTTGGCTACAACCAAGAAGAGGACAGGAGAACGTATCGATTATTAAGCCGTTGCATAACTCAAAGCACCAACCCCATGCATTGTTAGCGTCTGGTCGACTGCTTCCATTTCCGGCTGCGTCACTTACAAGTAGTATGTAAACTAGCATACATTTATTAATCTTTCAATCTTCGCCATGAACTGTAAAAATTAAAAAAAAATAAATAAAGGGGAATAACCTCGTGACATAATCTCGTGACATTTACAACGGGAGACAACAAAGATAATAATCTCTGGTAAAAAAAATAAAAATAAAGGGGAATAACCTCGTGACATACCTCGTGACATTTGCAACGGGAGACAACAAAGATAATAATTTCTGGTCACTTTTTTACATTACACATAGGGATCTTAATAATAATGACCACCTTAGTTGCTGGGCATGTTGACTTCTAAACCAAGAGGAGATGGTCGTGCTGCGAGGTCCAGGAGTGACGTCAAGGAGGGTCTCATTTATCCGAACATTTCAAACTTTGGAGGAACTCTCAAATTAATTTCCTTTATTCAATACTCTTAAAATAAAATAAATCAAATCAAAGAACTTGCACATTTTTATATTGCTAGATGAGTCGTCAGTTTATCAGTGAGTGTTTAAAGAGGCTCAATGAATAGAGTCCCACAATTGTGTACACGTTTAAGAACCACTGCTTTAGGATAAGCATTTTCTTTAAGCTAATGACCCACCTTGAGTTAATCCTTATATAATGTAATTATCCACCGTGAATTAATCCTAATATAATGTAATGACCCAACTTGAGTTATTGACTTAAATAAGGTAATGACCCACCCAGAATTAATCCTTACATATTAAACCCTGGAACGCATTTGAACAAATTACTTGTAATTTTTATGTTTTCTAGCTTCTTAGATATATTTGAGCACTTCTCCCAAGTGCTTGGCACGCCACGGGTGCATGTACACAGCGCTGGACACACCATAAGCGCCTCTATCCACTGCTGGCACACCATGAGCGCATCTACCCACTGTTGGACACACCATGAGCGCATCTACCCACTGCTAGACACACCATAAGAGCATCTACACAGTGATGGACACACTATGACACATCTACACAATGATGGACACACCATGAGCGCTTCTACCCACTGCTAGACACACCATGAGATCATCTACACAGTGATGGACACACCATGACACATCGACACAGTGATGGACACACCATCAGCGCATCTACACTGTGATAGACACACCATGAGGGTATCTACTCACTGCTGGACACACCATGAGTGCCTCTATACAGTGATGGACACACCATGACACATCTACACAGTGATGGACACACTATGACACATCTACACAGTGATGGATACAATATAACAAATCCACACAGTGATGGACACACCATGACACATCTACACAGTGATGGATACAATATAACAAATCCACACAGTGATGGACACACCATGACACATCTACACAGTGATGGACACACCATGAGCGCATCTACTCAGTGATGGACACACTATGACACATCTAC